GATTTTTATAACGTAGAATCACAGACAGGTTTGCTGTGGGGCCTACAGCAGGATAAGAAATGGAGTTTATTTTACCTGGTTGTTTCTCAGAACTGGGTTTTGCTGTTTAAGTAGCATTTTGCCTTTTGGGAAAAGTGGACGTTTGCTATCCTGAGCTGTAATAGTGTGAATACTTGAACTCATTTAGTGTTTTGTTTATGGATTATGCTTCTACGCAGAGAAAGAAGTTCCAGCTTTGCTAATATTGTGGTCACTTTTGGTATCTCATAAGCAGAAAGGCTGAGTTTACTTCTGTGTCTTTGCTTACACAGCTTGTATTCTGTTACCTTCATTGTAGCTTTCAAAGACTGCATTGGGCAGGTTTCAGTGGTGGTCATTCATTTGTCTGTGGAGTAATTCCTTGCACTGCAGTCACGAGTGCTACTGTTCTGTTTCTTGTACTAGTATTTTTCCTGAAGATAGCCATGCAGGCATCTTACAGTATGCTTTATTTAAAGCCAAAACAAAACATACCATCTTCAACAAAAAGCCCCCAGCCTTCTACTGTTAAATAATCAGGTTTTCAACTGTAGCACGTTTCTGTTAAATAGGTAGCACATTTTCTGACCCTTCAAATAAAAAGTGAGCAAATACTAGGCTGGGGTATGTTCTCTGCTAGATCTATTAAAAGTTACTATAATAGAGGGATTTGTTTATTGTGCTTCTGTATTTGGTCTTGTTGCAAGCAGGTTGTCCTCACAGAGAAATGCTTTTAAGTGTTGTCTGCTTAGTTAAAAATCAGTCCTACTTACGGAATGCCTTGGTTTTCATTCAGACATTAATTGATTGTGTGATCAATGTGGTGAATAAAAACTATAAAGCCTTTTACATAAAGCAAACTGCACTGGTGCATGCTGCATAGACAGAGCTGGGAATGATATACTATGTGAAACAGTGGGGCTACTATTTCTTGTTATCACAAAAGCCCAAATGTCCCAGTGTGCCTGAGTGTGTGTCAGTCCAGCTTCAGTCTCTGGGTGTTGGCTGCATGCCATACTGATGTTTGACCGTCCATTTGGATTTACAATGGCATTTAAGATTTCTAAATGTGGCCATGACACGAGTGCTTTGAGTACCTTCAAATTTGTTACACTTGGCATGCTTGAGTAATGCTAAAATAAAATACATGGTGATGAAAGCCTGAGTTTTGAATAATATCAATCACAGTCTCTCTTAACAAATGGATAAAAGCAGTGAGGATTCTGGGGAGGTGAGGTAAAGCAAAGCAGCCCAGCAGAGTACAGAGCTGTCCATGTACTTGTTGTCCTCTGATCCCTTTCTTAAGCCACAGTCAAAACTTTATCATGAATTTACAAGGCAGCCAGGTGCCAGTAGTGTGTAACAGTTATCACTTGACATGATGTAAGGTCTGTCCTTAAGAAGATGCCATTTGATGTTTCCTTTTTTCCTCACTTTGCAGATGTGGGTCGTTGTGGTTCTTTCCGATCTCACACAGATGTTGTCATTGTCTATTGTGCACAGAATGGTGCTTGGGGTAGTTTTGCTGGGCTGAAAAGAGAACAGTCTGTCTATGTTCTCGCTGCATCAAGTACAGCTCAGAGAGACAAAGGGACTGCTCCTGCTATTTTTTTTGTTTGGCTGGATGTGGCACAGGTTCTTCAGTAATACAGTTTTGCGTCAGGGTTGGTGGGGTCTTGAGACCCCAGAGCATGTTCCTGTCACTGCTGTAGTCCTTCCAGTAATGAAGTTGAAGTAGCAGGAACAATTCATTTAGTCCATTTTATGTAATAAATACCTTGAAGCAAAATGTCACCTTCAGTAATCAAGGATGTGGATTTCCTTCTTGCTGGTGCTGGCAGTATTTCCTGATTTTTCTAAATTGCTTCTGAGAAATTCATGCAGGAACTTACCTGAATTGGGAAAAAAAGTATAAATGTATGCTGGTGAACTGTTATTAATTCATTATAAGGTCTCCCCTTAAGGAGCCTTCTCTTCTCCAGTCTGAACCATCCCAGCTCTTTCAGCCTGTCTCCAGAGCAGAGCTGCTCCGGCCCTCTCCATAGGAGAGGTGCTCCCCTGTGGAGAAGAGAAAGGTTCTGGAGAGACCTTACAGCAGCTTCTAGTGCCTGAAGGGGTGGACAAGAAATCTGGAGAGGGGCTTTTGACAAGGGCAGATAGGGACAGGACAAGGGGGAATGGCTTTAATCTGACAGAATGTACATAGAGATTAGACATTAGGAAGAAATTCTTCCCTGGGAGGGTGCTGAGGTGCTGGCACAGGGTGCCCGGAGAAGCTGTGGCTGCCCCCATCCCTGGCGGTGTTCAAGGCCAGGTTGGAGCAACCTGCTCTAGTGGAAGGTGTGCCTGCCTGTGGCAGGGGGTTGGTACTGGATGAGCTTTAAGGTTCCTTCCAACCGAACCATTCTGTGACTCTGATTCTATGATTATTTTCCATTAGTCATGCTAGTACTTACACTAAAACTTGTGTATGAGTTGTGTATGCATGAGTGTATATCTGATTTTTGCAGAAGCTGGAGGGTTTCAAGTCCCAGTTGTAGACTATTTTTAATTTAAATGAGAAATTGAGCACTATCTGGAGGGAAATCAAGTTTTGCAAGGCTAAACATTGGGCACACCGTGAGGACAGTTGCTTGTCATTATCCTGTATTTATGTTACTTATCTTGTCCATGTACTTTTGTAGTTTAGAAGTAACATATTTGTGATCCATAAAATGAGTGTGCAGGCGTATTTCCTTGGTTTTGATTTATTTTCTTATATGTTGCTGTAATACCAGATTTTGGGATTCCATAGAATATTTTTATTTGCTCAAAAAACTGTTTTGATTCCTGCTGGATTTAACACATAGCAAAGGAATTAAACCTAGTAACTTTCTGAGCCAATCTTGCTCTATTACACTGGCACAGCCATCTTCCAGAGTGTATATGCTGCATAGTTGGTATATACTATTAGTATCTGTGATGATATGCAAGCCTGAAAGGATCCAGCTTTGTTTTCAGGCCCTGTCCTAATTTGGTAGGAGTAGTAATTGAAGGGAGAGATAAAGGGAACATTTCAAATGTTGCTGTGATGCTCGAGGTATGTGATCTATGTTGTGGAGAAATTGTACTTATTTCACACCTGCCTCTTTCTAGGAATAAAATATCTGTATGAAAATAGAGTGATTTTCATTAAACATTGCTTTAAACACCATTACATTTTCATAAAATAACAATTAGTAGTCATGCTTTTCTTAAAGGTAGGTTTCTGTTCCATTACATGTGACCAAGTTGGGGCATAAAATTCTCTTGCCTAAGGATTGGCCATTTTATGTCTCTTGGGGCACCAGTCCTGTGTTTCTGATTTCAGTGTTACGTCCTCTTCTTAGTGCAGATTGTGAATGGAAGATTTCTGTAATGAGAATTTCTGTACTACAAAATAAAGGCAACAGGAAGTTTTAAGCTGTTAGAGAGTGGAAATAGCTGGTGAAAGGTCTTGTTTTAAATCTTAAGCTGATACTTGTATCTGAAAGTATAGCCATACCTACCTTACATGCTACTACCTACCTTATGCTTTTTTTTATCAGCTGTGTTGGGTCAGTTGCAGGCATGTAACAGCATGATCTCTGTAGCTGGTTACCTGAAATACCTTTTGAGAGCCATTTTGTTGGCTAAAGATCTGAGTGCTTCTGTCCTTCACCTTAAAATTGCTGCTCTTCGGCCAGCACAGCTTGTTTGTGTTAAAAATCATGGTAACTCAAATACGGAACCAAATGGGTGTTTTTAATCCTTGATCAAAACAGGATTGAATAAAATCAGGATGACCATTGTGGAATTCATGGTGAACGAGCTGGTATTTTAATCAAGGATCAAAGTGCAGTCTTAGATATGAAACTTTACTGTGTAATGGTTATAATTGACTTGTTACTGACTTCACCGACTTTCAGGGTAGTATCCCTTGGTTGTAATGACAGTGTACTCTCCTCCCTGTCAGCTTCAGCTGTCTTTTGTGTCTAGCAGAAGTAGCACTGTCAGCATTTTTAATACAGGATTTCCTGTTTTTTTTTTCTGTCTAGATTAGACTTATAGAAGTATGCTTTATGGAATTCACTTGTTTATTATTAAGTGGGGCTGTATGTGTTTAGTAACAAAAGCTTTTGTATGCTTGTGTATGCTAGTAGTACTTTTCTATTTTGTATATGGAAGTGAATGTAGAGGTGTTTATGTGTATAAAAGCAAATGTATGTAAATATAGAGAAGAATTAATGTATTTGGGTTCAAGAGGCAAATAGTTTTAGGAAAGGAAAGCTGCTCCCATAAGACAAGTTTTATCTTCTTGAAAAAGATAAATATCAGGTGTTTGGTTCTAGTGTTTTCAGGTGCCTTCTTTTATCCCTGTTACTGGTGACAAATTCTGTTCCCTTAAAATGAGTGGGGTGAGACTGTATTTCACTATGAAGTTACAGTAATATTGATACAAAAAACCCAGGACTTACCAAGTGTTTTGACATGGAAATAAGCTGCTGCCTGTAGCCACATCTGCGCTGTGCTCCTAGCTCCTGTGCTGAGGTGCAGGCTCTGTCGTCTACTTTACATTTGTTGTCAAATGAATATGGCTGAAAGCATGTACCTGGTCAGTCACTGCAGAGCCACTGACGCATGATGACTTGCGTGTCAAAGGTATTTTGCTTGACAGCATCAATTGGAATAATTTATTCCTGTTTAGTCTTGCCAGTATGTGGCTTTGGATACAATTAATATACTCTGTTATTTCTTCCTGTAGCATAAGATGATTGTAATGCAAGTTCTTAGATTCTGTATCTTGTGTTTTAAAAGAATTAGAAGCACAAGTTGTCCTGGTAAGACATTCGGCTGTGTAGTTCAGCTGCCAGGGGTGGTTAGTCCATGTATGAATATATACCTCTGCTGCTCTGTTGATCTTTATGTGTGGTGTTACACTGACCTCTTCTTTTTTTGACATGCTTTTCTTTCTCCTTTTCCAGGTGAAGCAGGAGCTGTAGAAGGAGGACCCTGTGGCTCGCCATCATGCCATTCCCCTTTGGCAAGTCCCACAAGTCTCCTGCAGACATAGTGAAGAACCTGAAAGAAAGTATGGCAGTTCTAGAAAAGCAAGACATCTCTGACAAAAAGGCAGAAAAGGTACCATTGGGACTTTTCAATTGCTAAACTGTAATCGAAAGATGGGGAGAAATTCACAGCTGTTGAAACTGAATAAATTAGTCATTAGCTTTGAGTTTTATACTCTGATAAAGGGTAAGTTACTATGTACCTTTGAACATGCGTTTCATGTTAGTTGGGTTTGCGTTTTTATGCCACTGGCAGCTAATATGATACTTAAAGTAATTTGGTTTGGAACTGTAAGATGTTGCATTCTTTAATAAGCAGCTCACAGCCATACAGTATTCTGGTGCTTGTGTCCACCATAATGGCTTTATTATTGTGCAGTAGTTCTGTCTGTGCTTCTTGATGCACTTGTTGAGAGCAGAGTGTCTCTGTTACTGAAACCAAGGAACTTTGTCTCTCAGTGGATGTCAGTAGAGGATATACATTCACCTTTCCTTAACTCTTCTACAGCCCACATGAAGATGTGGTGAAAAGTTCCTGTGTGAGTGTAGTTTCCTTTAGATGGGATGGTTTGGTGCTTCAGGATTTGTACCTGTCAACAACCCTTTATTTCTCAAAAGATAGTCTTGACAGCTTTACTAAAATGTACTTTCAAGTTCAGCCTGTGTGCAGCTGCAACCCAACTAGTGACTTGTATAAAAGGGTATTTACTTGTTTAGGTGAAGTTTTTTTTCTGATAAACTCAACACAAGGACGTAGATTTCAGTACATTAAAAAAAAGCCAAGCAAAAAAAGCCCAAGCAAACAAAACATGTCCTTCTCCAGTTTACTAGCTTTTGAAGCAGGCTATGATACCATCCTTGGATCCTCTCCCAGCATTATTTAACTGTTCTCTGCCATTCCTGGCATCCTTACATAGTCCTATGTAGGAGTTAGTCACAACCTTCTTTATGTTCACCAGCATTTTTAAGCAGTGTGGCCAGCTTCTCCACATCCAGTTTTACCTAGATTTGGCACTGCTGCTTGAAGTGCAGGAGAATCCAGGTCTTAACTGGATTGATGTCTTTATCCTGATACTCTTTAAAATCAGCATCTTCTGCCCCAGTGCCAGCATGTGGTATGTTCCAGGTCTCTTGTGGTATACCATAGTATTTTTTACTGATGCTGCTTCTCTCCTACTGGAGAGATAAATGTTATGGCCTATTATGCAGGCCACCGTGGAGGCTGAGAAGATTTTTCAGTTGTTGCTGCTTTTCTTCTGTCCCTAATAAAGACATCTGTCAGGAGAGGAAGGGTATGTGCTTTGTGATGGAACATGGTACTACCTCCTTCATCTCAGCCTCATTATTAATACCTGGAGATGTGGCTTGATCTTAAAATCCATGCTCTTGTGTCATCTTTTTCTTAGATCTCTAATGGGGAACAGACCGGCTTCATTCCATTGTGCATAGCTGTGCACTGTGTCACATGCCTGTGTTCCTGATGCTGTAGCTAAAGATTATTATGTACCATTTGCTTCTTGCTGGCCTTTAATCCCATATCTCCATTTTCTTTAAAGACCTTGTTTATGCAAGGCTGCTTCTTTGACAAGGAATAATATGCTAAGCCTGTAGAGTTGTTTCTCCCGTCTCATATAGAAGGCAACACATTCTGCTTGAAGAAGTGTGAGTATTCCCTGCATGAGATCTTAGGAAAAAGTTCTTCCCTGTGAGGGTGGTAAGGCCCTGGCATAGGTTGCCCAGAGAAGCTGTGGCTGCTACACTACATTGTTTCTTAAACCTGAGTTCACACAGTTGTGATTTTCTTTACTCTCGAGCATAGGGAATTTGAAATGTATATGTATTTCTTCCACAAAATAATTGTAAATGCCCCTTTTGTTTTATACCTTATAGCTGGGGGAGGTTCCAAAGACAAACTAGTACTTTTTTACTGCAGTACCACAGTGGGTTTGTTTTTATATGTAGTTCCTACCATGCAGTAGCAGCACAATGCTGTTATGAAAATACAGATTTTGCTACTATGAAGAGGATGCTCTTTGATAGCTTGCTAGCAGACTTGGAAATACAGATTTTGAATCATAGAATGGGACAGGGACACCTTCCACTAGACCATATAACATCAAACCTTGGGATGGTTTGGATTGGAAGGAACCTTAAAGTTCATCCAATTCCAACCCCCTGCCATGGGCAGGGACACCTTCCATTAGAGCAGGTTGCTCCAAGCCCCGTTCAACCTGTTCTTGAACGCTGCCAGGAATGGGGCAGCCACAGCTTCTCTGGGCACCCTGTGCCAGTGCCTCAGCACCCTCACAGGGAAGAACTTCTTCCTAATGTCTAAATCTCCCCTCTGTCAGTTTAAAGCCATTCCCATTTGTCCTGTCTCTACATGGCCTTGTAAAACATCCCTTCCTAGATTTCTTGTAGGCCCCCTTTGAGGCCTGTGAGGTAGTCTTGAGGAAGCTTGAAATGTCAAGTGCTTTATTACTGAAAAAGTGTTCATCACAGATGCTGGTAGTTTTCCATTGCTTGTGTATTTTCAGAGAGAAGGGCTAAAGGGAAGGGGAAGGAACACTTTCATATAAATGGGACCAACCCTTTATGTAGTCCATTAGTTAGTCTTTTACTTGCATCTCTTCCTCCTCTTTGGCTGATATCAGGGTTTATTTTTATACGGTCAGTTCCCTTTGTGGCACACATTTACTGTTGTGAAGGTAAATATTTACTCATATAACAAACTTGTTCTTCCCTACCCTCTGACCTTGGGTTCACCTGCTCATAACAGCCCCCGTTTTGGCTTTCAGATGATTGTTTCTGCCATGTTGTTAACACATGTGGGTTGACTATTGCAGGTATGGTTTGTTTCTCTTCTCATTACCAGCCCTATACAATAGACAGTATATTTCTATGTATGGGACAATGCAGTATGCTATTTTGATTCAGCTGTCCACATGTAATACCATGTCATATGCCATAGAAAATATTTCACTCAATGAGTTAACGTTGTTAACAAGTACAGAATTCTACTGCATTGTAACTTGTGTATGCAATTGATTTGTGGTTGAAAGAAGGCTGAAGGTTAAGGAATCTTCCTTGCCTATGGTATGGGGCTGTTACTCAAAGGGTAAAGATGGGACTTCTTCAGGAAGTAATGGGTGAGAAGACCCTTTTAATTGAGTTTAGCTCTTCAGTGATATCTTCATGCTAAATGTCTGCTGAAAAAAATCAGTTTTGACTTTAAAATAAACCTGTAACGCTGATGTAATTGTGTATTTACAAAATTTCAATTGTTTTTTTTAAGCATTTTGGAATCCATTCAATTCAGTCCCTTCAATGATAAAATACTTAGGGTGGTAAGGGACCTTCAGAGCTCATCTAGTCCAATCCCCTCCAATGATCAGGGACATCTTCAACTAGATCAGGTTGCTCAGAACCACATCCAGCCTGGCTTTGCATGTCTCCAGGGATGATGCATCTGCCACCTCTCTGGGCAGCCTGTGCCAGTGTTTTACCACCCTCATTGTAAAGAGTTTTTTCCTCACATCCAGTCTGAATTTCCCCTCATTTAGTTTAAAACCATCACCCCTTCTTCTGTTGCAAATTTACGTAGAATTATTACAGTGGTGTTTGTTACTTATGATAGATACTGCTGTAGATTAGTAAGAACAGTCACCACATACAGGCTCAAATCTACAGTTAGCTTACTTTTTGATGGATGTTTTCATTAACAGTCTGCTATGTAACTGCATTATGGTGTGGATAGAACCCATAGACCTGAAGCGTGTTGAGCTCATCTTAAATACTTCAGGACTATTTGTCCTTCATCTTTTTCTACTGTTTCTCAAAGTACAAGTATGTGTTGCTTCATAAAACTCAAATATTGCAGCTCTACAAGTCAAAATGAAGTATTGGCACTGCTTAGCATTTAAAGAAATAGTAAATTTTGAGAATATCAGTGAAAAAAGACTGGAGTAAGCCGTCATTGTTTATAGTTTTTAAGGCACACTGCTATTCTGGTTTGACAGTCATACATGTGACTTCATTGTGTCTGGTTTTATTTTTAAATAATGTCTTCCTGTGTTTGATAGAAAAATAAGTGCTCTTTATTTTCCTTACATTTTACTTTTTAGTTTGACTTGTCCTCACATTGTATTGACTGTCTGGCACCATTGAATTTCAAATGTGACTTGTCACAGAATGTTTCTCGAAAGCACTGGTTGCTCCTTCTCAGAGTTGAGGATATAGATAAAAAAAAAATCAATACATAGAAAATATATAATATATAAATATATATTTCTGGAGTGTAATATGTAGAATATATGTTATAGTCTGTGTATATATATTCCATATATGTAAAAATATCCATTACTTATGTTAGAATATATTTTTTTATATATGGTGTCTGATTGTTAATTCCACTTTTGATTAAAGCAGCACATTAGGCAATTGAGATACCAGTATCTTAGGAAAGCTTTTAGGTGATGCTAGCTGGCCTTCTTTTGTCTGTCCTGCTTTTTTTCCACTAGTTTGTCACTTAGCTCTTAAGGCTGGTACTTAATGTAGCCTATAATTTTTTTGGTGTAGCTATCTAATTTCCATTCTGCATCTGAAATGGCAAAAAGAGCTCTGTGCATCATGTATTTGGAATATGTTTGGGAGTTCATGGAATATAAAGGAGTAGAGTTCTAGAACAAATTTGTAAAAGTTTATTTCTTGTCCTTTTGATGTTGAGTTTTAGAGCAGAAGAGAAGGGAATACAGAAATGTCGTATTTTATGGAATTGTAGTGTGTCAGTAGACCTTGGTCTTTAATAATAGTTTGGCCTAAGTTCAAGTGGTACAAGCGAGTCTCTTCATGGTGAAGGTGGTACAGGTTGCCTAGAGAGGTTGTAGAGTGTCCATCCATGGAGTTGTTCAGAGCATGGCTGGCCCTGAGCCTGATCAACTTGACAGGACTTTTGAGGCTGAGCTTGTGGTTGGACCCTGATGACCTCCTGAGGTACCTTCCAACCTAAGCTGTGTTTCTGCGTCTCTAACCATTACTTCCTGCTGAAGTCATGTGTTATTCCAAGTTCAAGTGAAGCATGCTGAGATGGTCTTGACAGTTATGAAGAGTGTGGGAAATAATTTAAAGTCCTGGTGTGTCTTCTTGAAGTTATTGAATTGTATCTTCATGTTAGGCCAGAAGGAAAAATTCTCCACTGGCGTTCTTCTTAATTGCAGGCCTGCCACCATCTTACTTAAAATAGGTAGCTACTTGAACCTCTGCCTTTCTTCCTCTTTCATCTTGCTTTCTAAATTAGTGTGCAGGGACAAGCTGCAATAGAATTTTTATTGCTGCTTCCTCTTTTCCTTGTAGCCATGCATCAATTCATCTCTTCCTATCTCCACATTTGACAGATGTTCCTGTTCTTAGTAAAGGATATTTCATCTGAATTTTAAAGAAATAGAGCGGTTGTGTGGCGTAATAATATTGCAATATGATGAGCTGGCTTTCTCATTTAACATCTTCAGGAGCTGTCGAGCACCTGCTTCTTGCTGTCTTACTCGCAGTACACAGAAAATCCTTTGGAATTTTGAATGAAGAGGAGACAACTGGGACTAGTAACTGCAGTTAGCAAAAAAAGGGGGGGGGGCAACAGGGAGTGGAAAGTTGTGGAGGAGCTAAAGATAATACAGAGCCTCCTTAAAGGTCATGGACTTCTTACTTGCATACCTAGCAAAGCTGGAATGGCTTTGGGTTGAGTAGTGTGTGAGTCATGCTGATCTTGAGCCTCTTTAGGTGTAAAGCACAAATGAGAAATCTTTTTACGTGCCCCTTACAAGATGGGCAGTATCCAGAATGTGATTGTTTTTTCAGTTGATTAATTTTCCATGTGCCACCAGTCATGAATACCTTACATAAATGAAAGTGTACGCATACCTTGATGGTAGGTTCATCTAAATACAAAACATTAGTGCGCTTACCAGTCATTCATACCTTTAAAGCATATGCAGAACTAATACAATATAATTAAACCAGCTATTTATGATTATCATTTTCAGCATTTTGCTCCGCCAGGATATGTGAACATATATATTGAAAGGAGTAGTTATTTTTATTTTTCTCCAAGAAAACTGTGTTTTAAAATTTTAAGTGAGTGTTTAGAAGTGTTCTCATTGTTTTTTTAAATTTAGTTTAAATTTTTGTTTAAATAATTAAATTTAAAATTAAATTTAATTAATTTTTTTCATGAGATAACTCTGCTTCAATAGTTAAATGATGCTCCAGCCCATCACAGCACCTTAGGAATTCTTACACTGGATTCTCTAAGTGAAGGGTCAGACTTGTCTGTCTGCTGTAAGATGGGAAGCATCTTACACTTTTGATTGTCTCCTGTATCACTGTGTTCTTTTAAGTGCACCAGTTTCTGGGTCTGTTTCATAGAACCACAGACCGGTGTGTGTTGGAAGGGACCTTAAAGCTCATCCAGTTCCAGCCTTCTGCCATGGGCAGGGACACCTTCCACTAGAGCAGGTTGCTCCAAGCCCCATCCAGCCTGGCCAGTTTGTTCTTGTATACCGAGATAACTCGGTATAAAGTAGGATTTCTTTTGGGTTTTGTTAGTTGGAAAGGAAAAAAATCATCCCCGGTGTCTGGAATGGGAGCCTAGCATTTGTCAAAACTTAATGAGTGCAAGACCTGTTGGAGGGATACATTTGCTCTCTCTGAACAGTTCACTAGACAGACATGTGCCTCCATGTCATGTTTTCCAATCTGATCCTTCATTCCTCTGTTTTACACCCTATTGTTATTCTTTGGGGGGGGGGTTGAATGGGAAGTTTGAAGGGAGTAAAAAGGAAGAGATTTTTACTTCTGGTAACTTGCTAAATAAATTGCATGTGTCTTGCCCTTTTTAAATAACCTGTAACAGTCCTATTTGCAGAGAGATTATATATTGTGTTTTTAACAGGTTGCCATTTCCTGCTTGTTTTTCCCTTAATGGAAGCTTGCAGATGTGTGTGATTACAAAGACGAATGACATTGTGTTCTAACTGTATTCTTCTCCCATTTTCTTCAGGCCACTGAGGAGGTCTCAAAAAACCTTGTTGCCATGAAAGAGATCTTGTATGGCACAAATGAAAAAGAACCACAGACAGAAGCTGTGGCACAGCTAGCTCAAGAGCTGTACAACAGTGGTCTTCTTAGTACCTTAGTAGCCGACTTGCAACTAATTGATTTTGAGGTAAGAAAAGAAGCTTGGCACTTACACTGTATATGTTAAAATATACACATCTGATTTCCTGCCACTTCAGTTGGTTAAGACATCTTTTGATCTTCAGCTTTTATTTCTGGCTGGGACATAACAATTAAAAAGAGAGCTCCCTTTTCCAAACTACCTGGAAAATTAAGCCAATATAGAACATGAAATGTGTGAATTTAGGAACATAAACAGTGTAGAATTGAAGTAGATAAACCACTAATTCTGATGGTACAGTTCTGTTAAAATAATAGAATAATTCTTAATTGTTGTGTACACAGAAGGGTTAATCGCTCAGTTGTCCTACCATAGCTTACACAAGCTATAATACTAGAGGGCATGTTTATATTCTCCTCTGATTAAATTCAAGTACTTGGTAAAGAGAATTATTGTAACATTTATGGAGAATTAGCTAAGTTAAAGCTGTGGATTTTGTTAACAGTCCAGTATTTCTTGCTCTCTTTAGAAACAAATGATCCAACCTTTTTTCTGTATTCCTCATCTTTTCTCTGTTTATTAAAAAGCCCCAACAGGTGCAAGTTTTTATTGATTACTTCAAAATAGCAACACTTATTTATATTCAAACTATATGCAAACCTTTATCTGGCACTTGTCACCACATCACATGGAATAATTTAGCTTCTCAATGCCACAGTGAAAAATCACCCTATTTAGTTATAAGAAATGGCAGTATAATTGGATTTTCCTGTTTTCCCTGAGGTCCCACAAGAGGCATGTGGTATAGGAAAGGAGCCAAACCCCGTGTATCTCCACAGCCTTGACCATAAAGACCATCCCGCTTAAGGTTGCTTAAAAATGGGGTTGTTCATAAACAAGTTGTTCAGGATGCAAACACAACCATTTAAAGTCCTATTGTTGTATGACATTCCAAAAACAATGGCTTTCTTCTCTTTTCTTTCTTCTCTCCCTTCCACCCCACCCATAACTCCCTGTGATTTGTGTTTAATACAGTGGTATTTTTTCCTTACCCACACAACTGTTTATGCCAAACATAAAACATTTAGGTTGTTAAATAAGCAAGGAGACCTGGGAAAGCTGAGAGGGAATGCTGAAATGTGATGACCTTTAATTGCTGAAGAAAGGAAGTCATGAAACGTCATCTGGATTCTGCTGACCTCTAGATTCTTATCAGCTTGGTGTTTACTCAGCCTGGTTATTAGTGAAGGAAACCTTCATCATCGCCTGATAATGGAGAATGATAACAATTCCTACAGGCTTGCTCTCATTAAGGAGAACTATTCATTGTATTCTAAGGGGACTTGAAAAGACTGCGAGTAGTTTGCTACTTGAGGACTTATGCTGCTGTGTTAAATGAGGGTATGACAGTTCCCCCTTGAGAACAAGTCATTCAGGCTGCTTTCTAGGCCTGACCACTTCTGCTCTTTAAGGATGGGATCTGGCAGGTTGTCCAGCTTTTGTTGTTACCTAGAATTAATGTCAACACACCTGTGCTCCAAGCATATGCTACCTTCCCAGTTGTTACAAAGTCCATCAGATGTTGTCTTTGATATCCCAAATCTCTATGGTTGTGGGCTTACTGCTGCATTTGAAGTGATTTCTCCATAACCGGTGGAGATAGGAAGTGGATTTTCTGTTGGCTCTTATACTTGAAGAGTAGGTATGTCCTTTTTTTAAGTCAAGAACTTCACTCTTATTCCTGAAGGTTTCCTTTGTAGGACAGGGACAGACAGCTAAACAATTGACAGGGACTCTTCACTCTGACTCGTAAAATGTCTGAAGTGTATTTGAATCTGAATAGTATGGTTAAAAAAAAAACAAAAACTAAACCAACCCCCTCAAAAAAGTAACTAAATGTTTTAATGATATAATTAAGAAACTGACCATTCAGACCTTGCTGTATGTAAAGACCTGTTTAAAATTATTTCCTCATCTGGCAGCTTGTTTTCCAGGCAAAGCAGTCGACACAACCATCTACTTAGCAGTCTTACCAGTTTTCTCCCTTCTGATTTGCGCTAGTGTGCCTGTAGAAGGGGTGGTTTCCCTTGTGCAACTGGTGGTTTTGTTTTTTTGTTCTTTTTTTAGCTTTATTATTCCTTTTAAACGAAGGAAAAAAACCCCAGACAAAGGGGGACTGAATCCTTCTGCTCAGAAGACAATACTAGCACAGTCTCCCTCTCACCTCTCGCAGTCGTGACTGTTGGCACAGGGTTCAGTGCCTGTTTGCCCTTGTTAGGCCACGAGATCACTTAGTAATACATCCTTCTAACAATAACTAGCTTTGGTATTACTGTGTACCACTATCAGCTCAGTTCTGTGCATAATAAGGAAATGCTGTTCTTGCTGGTGGAGCCAAAACAAATTGTGAGATCCAGCACAAAATTGGCAGTGCTAGTGAATGAGGCTTGATGACTATATTATGTGGAGTTTGAGTAAAGCAATTTCTGGAAACACTGCTCCACTCATTTCAGAACAAAGCGTTCTGGTGTTGCTTTGGGCTGGCTTTCAATGGAATTGTAATTGAGAAAACAAACATTTACAAACAAACTCTTATGTCCTGAAAACAACACTCGAACAAAACTGCCCATGGTAATTCACAAACATCTCATTTGTAAAACTACACCCTACGTTTTTATAAACGTGACTTTTTTTCTTGATGCTAATTAGGAAACTGAAATAATTTTGAATAAATGCTGGTTTTTAGTTTTTTTTCTAATTAAATAAGCCTATATTTTACTTCGCAGACTGGCTGATGTTACCCAGGGCATTAATTTTACAGCTAGAGATTGTCAAGAAACATTATCTACATTTGGGTTTTGTGTATAACATTTAGGGAAGCTTCACGTGGAGTTGCTGAGCAGGTCTTTATTTGCAAGTCTGGGCTTAATATACCTTGTTTTTTTCTGGCTTAGATCTGATAACACAGTCCTAAAATTATCTTTATGGCAGCCCAGAATGAAAAGTTAACTGCAGAAATCCGGCCTTTAAATGGTGCATGTTGAATGATACTGGAAAGTGCTTATATTTATAACCAGCTTTTTGTTAGATGTCTGTATGAATTTGCCATCTTTAGCTATGGTCTGACAGAAGAAATTAATAGGAGATGTGTATACATACTCAGAGAACATTCCCAGCCACTTTTAAATTGTCTGGTGCTATCCTTATACATTTTCTTTCTGTATCATCCGTGCTGAATTCCAGCATCCTGGTCTTATTAATACTTCTTTTGTGCACTGAAAAATGTGAGACTTGCATTTTAGGTGAGTGGATGATTTTTCCTTATAGTTTTGATTTATTTAACTTCCATAAGTTGCAGTTTTAAGTTCGATGCTAGCACTGCCACCAGAAATGCTCTAAACACTCTTAAGGTGTGTTTCTAGACAAAGGGAGAGAATAACGGAATAAGGAAGAAACACACAGGCAAGAGCACGGTTAAAAGCTGGTATGTTATCATCAAAAACAAGTATAAAACAAGGCCAGGAGATTGATGAGACATCAGCTGGCTTTACTTAACGTAAAATGTGATCTGGCTGTAACCTGATGTAATGTTTTGAGTGCTTTGGTGTATTTGAAATGGGTATAAAGAAACAGGATATTTGATCTGTTTAAGATCAGAGTACAGAGGCTGACTGAGCTCCAGAGCTCACAAGGTATGAATGTGTGCGATGATAATAATATTAACTGTAAACTTGCCCAGTGGATTTGAATATTGTGTGGTTTAACCGCTGATGTTTTTGACAGGGCAAAAAAGATGTTGCGCAAATCTTCAACAACATCCTCAGAAGGCAAATTGGTACAAGAACTCCCACAGTTGAATACATCTGCACTCAACAGAATATATTGTTCATGCTATTAAAAGGGTATGTATGTTGCGAAGCATAAATACACCTTTACATGAAGTAAGAAGTTTCTACATTTGTGAAGAAGTAATGAGTTCTGAAATGGTTTTTCTTTCTTTGCTAGATTTCTTTTCTGTAATTCCCCAAAGTAAAGGAAAATTTGAGTAATAAGCCACCAAAAAATATACTTCTGCATAAAATATGACTGAAAATTGAGAACTGTTAGGAACCAAAAGACTTTTTACTGGGGTAGTACAAACGTTTTCCTTTCAGTATACTATTTGATCCTGTTCAAACAATTTCCTTGTGAACTTATTCATCAAGAGCTGAAGGCTGCATTTTCCCTTTAACACCTGTCATTGCCAGATTGCTGTCCTATCTCCTCGTCTCAGTTTGGTTTTAGACTTGTTATTCATAGTGATTTATAATCCTGAAGTGATAACAAATACACCAACTTAGACTTGACTGGACAAAGAACAGTTTGGGGCATATGGTGCATGCCAAACGGCTGTTTCTTCCTCTATTCTTGTATTATCTGGTGTGCTGGATATTGGAGAATCATGCCATACTGAATATGTAGTTACATACGTAGAGCTGTGGGCTTCACACAAGAAAACAGAAAGGTGGTGGTAAAATTTTCATGTTAAAGCCAGATGCAAAACAGAGAATGTGCTTCTATATGTGAAAAGAATTTCTGAACGTTTCTAATTACATGCGTTAAGAAAGTTCTGAAAAGTGCACTTGCAGCGTGTTATTTTGGGATAGAAAAGTTCATCAGTCCTTTCAAAAATGCAGCTATTTCAAGTACTACTTTTATAGTTGTTTCAAGTTGTTTATGTAAGCTATTTTGTTGTAGTATCTCTAAATTTACGTAATCTTGGTCATTCGTGTAAGCCACTGGAAAATGCATCATGCAAGAAATGTTCTGTATGGAGAAGGCAGGAGTTTTGTATCTTTTAGTTTCACGCTGACTCCAAAGGTTTAGCACAAGAAATTGTATGGAATATTTGTTTCAGTTCTTACAAGTGTGTAAGATCAACACTCATCTACCAGAAATGCTTTGTTATTTCCCCTCTCCTCCGCATTATAGCCCTGATTTAGGGGGGAAGCAAGACTTGGAGGAACAAAAGGATTATTACTTGTGGCATAACACAAAGGAAATACTGATTCAGTAATTCTTCAAAATAATTTACAAAAGAAGGCAAAGATGTATGAGGTACAGAGAGATGAAACTACTTTCTCAGCATGTTCTTGCTGATCTCTGACTAGATGAGGGCTGTAACATGTTTGTCCTCATTTTTAGTCTGTTGTCACCCTTCAGAGAGCATTATTCTGACATGGATTGTTGAAACACATTCATAAGTCAGGATCTTTGAAATGGGCATTTAGTTAGCTTTAGCAACTTAATTGTGACATCTGATATCCAACTAAGTCAATTTCTTGTACATTTGAACTATGGGGTGAGTTGCAAAAAGTTCAGTAGATTTCAGATCTCCCTGACAGTTTAAATGGGAAAGTATTTCAGGACTTAACACTAATTCATAAGCAAATGTTTTTTGTATAGTAATAGAGTTAATGTTTAGTATGCACAATGATGCTTTGCTCCTGGATTATTCTGGTGAATCTGAATTAGCTTTCAATAGTATAGGATGAAGGATTCTTTAGGTGTAGGAGGCAGGAAGGTATATAAAAGAGGCTTTGACTACTCCAGAACCAGGTAGATAACAGATATAACTTTTCTCTAGACTGGAACAGCTTATATTGCAACATGTTGAGACGAGTTCTTGGTTTGGAAAGGTAGTTTCATCCAGGGTTCTACTATTAGTTTGCTTGGGGAAACAAGGAACTAGTAGTAAGTACAAAGGTGTATTTCTACCAAATGTATTGTAAACACACCGTTCTGTGATCTCGACAGCTGCTGTTTCTGTATGCTAACATCAGCTGAGAGAACCGACAGTATTTTAGCAAGAAAGCCTGCCAAGGAAATGTAGCAACAATTTTGAAACGAAACCATCAGAGATGGCTTCATCACTTCCATCAAATCGCTGATGGACATGATCCGAAGGTCTCTTGTAAGAAGGTGCAGGTTTAGAAGCAGGTGTTTGATACTGGTCTTAAAATACAAAGACGGTGTTGCCAGCATTCCAGGTTTGAAGCCCATGATATGTGGAGTAATGTTGGAAAAATGGTTTAACGAAAGAGGAGATATAAATTTATGTCTAGTCTTGTTAACTCTTCATGCTCGTATCATACATAGTTTGGTGTAATTGCTGTCACGTTTAAACAAACAGCTTTTAAGACACAAGTCACTGCTTTTCCAGCTGTCTGCAATGCCACCAATATGAAAATAACTGATTGTGAGTATGAAGAAAATACTCCATTTAGTCTTGTTTCTCAGTTTGTGAAAGTCAATTGGCAATGGCTGTAATTTGGCATTTAACTGGCAATAATTTTGGTAGTATTTCCTAGAAATGTGTAAAAGCAGAGGTTAATGTGGAAACAAGTACCCCTAACTTCTGGCTTTTGGTTTACTTGATAACACTGAAACCTGTTATGAGCAGGGTGGTGTTGCATTGCGAACTTGTGATGGTATTTGTAAAGAATCTTCTTTTGCTCTTTTGTTTGTTGGTCTGTCTTTTAATAGGTACGAGTCTCCAGAAATTGCTCTAAATTGTGGAATAATGCTCAGAGAATGCATCAGGCATGAGCCACTTGCTAAAATAATCTTGTGGTCAGAACAGTTCTACGATTTCTTCAGATACGTGGAAATGTCAACATTTGACATTGCTTCAGACGCATTTGCCACATTCAAGGTAATTTACATAGACCATTTGGATTGTTATTACTTCTGCAGCTCTCTGCTGTGTGAATCCAGATGATGGATGTTATGTTCTTGGGCAAAACAAGCCTATGGAGAGGGGTAAAAAAAAATAGGTGTGATGCAGATGGGTAGGCAGGACACTGTTCCTTATTTCTCGGAATGCATGACATAACTTTAAATGTATGTGCTGTGTTCCCAATAACTTTTATTCCAGAAAGCAAGATTTCAACTTTATTTAAGTCATGCATTAACTGAATATATGTGAATATATTCTGTTACATACCTGAGCGTATTTGATGCTGATACTCTGTCTGGGGAAATCTTTTGTTACCCTAAACCAACCACTTTTGGGACTGTACGCATAGTATTGGTCATTATTAAATACTGGGTCTTAATCTTGGTTGTGTGAAGTTGTGTGCAAGAGTAGCCTTAATCTATAAATAGTATTCTTCAGTGATAATTCCATGGACTGTTTACCTGTGTCAATTAACATAATACATCCCAGACCTTTCCTAAGTGATGCCAAGATCCTTGACAATGTCCAGGTAAATGCGTTTGCGTCCTGAATTTCTTCGTTTAATGAAATAGCAACATTTTCTGTTGGATGTCTTATGTGTACTCACTGTCTAATGAGAATGCCTATGCAGTGTTTAAATATTTTAGTGAAAATAGTGGTTTTGTGCTGTTTTGCAGGATTTGCTTACAAGACACAAGTTGCTAAGTGCAGAATTTTTGGAGCAACATTACGATAGGGTGAGCAGATGCATTTTAATACCCCGAATTTTCTAGCGCTGTGTATCTTATTTGAAGAAATCAGTATTTTCGTTCCTTGTTTTTAGCTTTGTGTTTGGAAATTTACACAGAATATAAACGAATTGAATTTACAGTAATTTCTGCCAAGCAGGTAATTAAAGATCAAGACCTTACTGTTGAATGTAGAAAGACGTAAAAGAACAGAAGGTGGCAGAAATCTAGTTCTGTGAAAACTCGATCTGATTTTTCCACTAGAGGGAACCCTTTCCTTGTCTTTGTCTTCTGGCTGTATTAACTCACAACAACCAAAGAATGCAAGATAACCCCCTCCACCTGCTGGGGACTCCTGAAACTAATGAACAGCATCCAGTACCAGGAATTACTTACTATAGTTTAAGAAATAAGAGTGACCAGCAGGTCAAAGGAGCTCTGCCCCTCTACACTGCTTTCATGAGACCCCACTTGGAATACTGCATTCAGTTCTGGTGTCCCCAGAGTGTGAAGGGCATGGAGCTGTTGGAGCAAGTCCAGAAGAGGCTATAAGGATGATCAGGGGCTGGAGCACCTCCCATACAAAGACAAGCTGAGAAAATGAGGTCAGCCTGGAGAAGAAAAGGCTGCCTGGAGACCTCAGAGCAGCTTCCAGTATCTGAAGAGGGCTACAAGGATGCTGGAGAGGGACTCTTCATCAGGGGCTATAGTGATAGGACAAGGGGTGATGGGTTCAAACTTAAACAGGGGAAGGTCGGGTTAGATATAAGAAGGAAATTCTTTACTGGGAGGGTGATGAGGCAGTGCCACAGGCTGCCCAAAGAATTTATGAATGCTTCATCCTTGGCAGTGTTCAAGGCCAGGTTGGATGGGACTTGGAGCAGCCTGGTCTACTGGAAGGGGTGTCCCTGCCTGTGGTAGGGGGGTTGGAACTGGATGATCTTAAGGTCTTTTCCAGCCAAACGTTCTATGATTTTCTAATGAGATAACTACTTCCACCACATTACAATCTAACTGTTAAATGCTTCCGAAAGAGTAAGTGATTTTTTTATAAGGCATATGCAGTGTTTAAGCAGTAGTGACTTACAGGAACCTACAGACTTCGGATTTTGTTTGCGTTTTTGCTGTGGATTTGCGTCTCTTCCAGTTTGTTATAATCATGTGGAAGAAGAGTGTGTGTGATGCTTGGGAAGGTCCTAACCCTTCTCTTTATTCTGTGTTCAGTTCTTCAGTGAATATGAGAAGTTGCTTCATTCGGAAAACTATGTGACGAAGAGGCAGTCACTTAAGGTAAGGCACTTTCATTTTCTTCTTCAGTGCAAAGTTAGGGAATTCCTTTAATTTCATGTGCTTTGACTTGAATTGAAATGGCTTAAGTAACTGCCTTGGGTAGTATTTAGTTTATTTTTTCATATATTTTAGTGCTTGAGATGAGCTACTTTGCCTTAGTGTCCAGTCCTTCCATTAGCTGGTGTCCAGCACACACCAACTAATTTCTTTCCCTGTGTAGAAACGGCTATGTGCACGTTAATTGATTGTCTTTTACGTCTAATGTCAAGTCATTTTTTTGTTTGGGCTTCTTTTCCCACTTTTAGCTCCTTGGTGAATTGTTATTGGACAGACACAACTTCACAATTATGACAAAGTACATCAGTAAACCTGAAAATCTCAAACTCATGATGAACCTTCTACGAGACAAGAGTCGTAACATTCAATTTGAGGCCTTTCACGTGTTTAAGGTATGTTTAAAATGCCCCACCATAGAACAAATGACAAAAGAAACCCAGCAGAAGTTGCTTAGTTGAGTAAAGGACTTAGCTGAGCCTAAATGGCGCTTATCTTAATTACTGTGTGGTTAAATAGAGAGATAATGTTTGTCTTTATCATGATCTATCTTTACAAGTAACAAAGTTGAGAAAACACTTAGGGATTTCTGTATGATAGTGTGTGATGTCTCTCAGAAAATCTTGGAATTCAGAAGGCTGACGAGCAGGAAGATAAGGAGGAATGCATGATTTCACATGAGATCATGAAACAACCTGGAGTTAAAAAGTGGTTTTATCATGCTGCATGATTGATGAAGGGTAGCAGTATTTTTGTCAAGTCACCTAAATTTCAAAGCCTGAATTGCAATTTGCACATTGTAGCAGATACCTTCTGACTTGGCAGCAGACAAGCAAATACCTAAGAGCTTGGAGATGTAACCTGAGGTATAAATGTTTTAGGGAACTTTAAGATACACATCTGATGTTGTATATAACAGGAAAACATGCATTTGCTACCAATTTAACTGTGAGGTGTGTTCAGTGGTTTTGCAGAGGGTATTTTGGCTGGTCACCTCCTACAAATTTAATTTACTTTGGTACTGGTATTCAGCTTCTAATAAAACCCCGCCTGCATTTACTCCATTAGTTTTTGTCTGTAGTGATACTGGAATGTGGAATGATGAAAACATTTTAAGTTATTGTCATCGCTGTTTTGCTGGCTGGGTTTGTTTTTAACTTAGCCTTCTGTTTCCTATTGTCATGCTAAATGCCTTTTATTTTCTTGCAGGTGTTTGTAGCCAATCCTAACAAGACACAGCCTATATTAGACATCCTTCTAAAGAATCAGACCAAACTTATTGAGTTCCTCAGCAAGTTTCAGAATGACAGGACCGAGGATGAACAATTTAATGATGAGAAGACCTATTTAGTTAAACAGATCAGGGATTTGAAGAGACCAGCACAGCAAGAAGCTTAACCTCCAATAAACCCTTAAAATATTAAACCCAAATTCAGCATTTGCTGTTAGATATTCAGCATCAGGCACTCTTACCGATTCATGAGGAACATTACTGCTAATCTGCTGTTCAGTGAACGGTTTTTGTTTTTCTCTTTTCTTTTTTAGTCCAAGTTGAAAAACATAGCTGCTGCTTTCTTGCACAATGTGGACTTTCTTGATATTTGTGTCATTTCAGAATTCAAAGACACTGCTTGTTTTAGGAGTCCTGAAAAGAAAGATTCTAGGTTCGTGAAAGCAAACATATAGATACTAGTTTGGTTTAGGAGAGAAGGTATTAATGTAGTTAAGTAACAGGTTGCATGCTTGCGAATCTGAATAAATCTGTATGTTTGCACTTACCTTGTTTGAGACATGAGCACAATGTGACCTGTGCATACCTGGCACCATAGTATAAGATTATATGCCTTGATTTAAAAAAAAACAAAAATGTGCAGTGCTTTATTTGTAATCAAAGGGGAAATGTATCTAAGATGTGAGCTTATTGGGATAAACAGTTGTCTTGCAAATAAACTGATATTGAAACTTAGCAACTTTTAAAAGAGTGAAATCTCCAGGTTCATAAGGAAAATGTATATATGCCTTTCACCGCTTTATAGAACGTTTTGTTTTTTTTTTTTGACATGATTTGATTTTTCTGAGAATTGACTTGTAAACTTGGAAATATGTTCTAAGGGGTTTTGTTAATTTTACTTTAAAGGTATTTCAGACAGTAGACCTAGCAATGACATTTTGCATTTCATTTCAACAACGCTTGCTGGTTTCTTTTGTATATAACTCCTAGGCTGCTCATTTCTTTAAAATATGGTTTAATTTGTACAGCAGAGGAATGTTATTGTATTAGTCTGTAACTATTACCTAATATTGAGTTTTGCAAAATGAATGCTCATATGTAATTGAATACTTAAGATCACATGGAAATGCTGATTTAACAATCTTAAATCCTGCAGCATTAAAAGGAAAAAAAAAAACAAAACCCAAACAAATTCACTTATCTAATGGGGTGCCATCGCTTAGGGTAGGCTGAAATAGAGAACTGGAACCCTTTATACTACATTTTTACTGGATAATATTGGCCTTATTCAGTTAAACTAACATTGTGCTCACCAGCTCGGCAAAGGTTATGCAAAATTAATATCGATTCCTCTTACTGCTGGGGAGCCTGCAGTGCATCATTTCTTTCTTAGAGTAAATAACTCAGTATAGTAGTTGTGTGAGTGAGTGATTCAATTCCTTCTGACCCCTCTGACTTCAGGAAACAACTTCATAGATGTCCTAGGGTAACAAAATGATTTAATTTTGTTGCTTTTGTTCTTTAATGCTGCAAACTGTCAGTATTTATAAAAACAACAAAAAAACCCAACTGATTTTGCACCATGGTTTTGTTACTGTGACCATACAAAAGGAATCTACTAAATATAGCTCAATGTTATTAAAGTTGTATTTATCAGTCATATAGTAATGCTAAGATCACAACCAAGCAAACTTATGGATTGGAGCCTGAGAGTTCAAATTCTGCATGGCTGAATCCGATTGCGAATGCTATAGAAAATGTTTGTTGCTTCCTGTTCTCTTCCTAATTAAAATATTCTGCAATCAGCAAGATGAAACTCCAAAGTGATGTGTAAGCTGGTTTGAAAGCCTTCACAATGGAAGTCAGATAGCTCCAGTAAATTGAGTGTTTAAAATTGCTCTTAACGTCGTAATTGGTCTTACAAAGGTTTTTAATGTGTCCTTTGCAAACCGATTCATTTTGCCTAGAGAAGGAAAATAGCTTACTCTGAAGATCACAGGCAAGCAGAATTGGCTATGAGATGGTATTATAGTTCAGTACAAACAGTCTATTACCTTTTGGTTTATCATAGCTGAGTGGAGGAAAACATTATTTGCCAAGTTACTCACCATAACATATAAGGCTTCCTCTTTAGAAAAACGTAGACATGCTAAAGATTTATATATGTAAAGAAGTGAAAACATTTGGACTGGGAGATGGAGGTTACTCTATATTAGGCCTTGGAAACAATGGCTATGGTGACTTTTTTTAATATGTGGAAACATTTGAATGTTGGCTTTTGAGAAGAAGTTGTATTTAAATTACAGCTCATTTGACGTGCTCTTCGTATTAAAAACCTATTGTTCTGGAAGTGGTTTCTTATCTGCTTGAAGGCTTAAGGGTATTACTAAAAGGTATTTAAGTGCGAGCGGGTTTTGGGTTTTTGTTTTGTCTTCTTTTTTTCTTTTAAATAAGAGATGTATACAATTGTAATTCTATTTCCGTGGTAGCATTTCATTTCTCCTGAGGAAAATGCGTTTCTTATCAAAAAAATCTGGCTGGCCCCATAATTTAAATTGAAATAAAATTTTGAAGAAAAATGTCTCGTCTTTACTGTTGTTGCTGAACAGGATGAATTTCTTGTGGATGTGCATCTGTTCTCCTCCATTGCCTTGGAGGGGTTCAGCTTTTTGAAATCATGGAAAATTCTGGCTTGCAAAAGCATTTTTAAGGAATAAAGACAAAGTGCTGCATTAGAGATGTAAGTAATTTTAAGTAATTATTGGTTTCTCTTGCCTATTTGCAGCATTATTTGCTGATTCTGTTTCTTTTTTGCATGACCAAGGGCAAAGAGAGGAGATGCTATTTCCTGCATCACGTCTAGAAGCAGGACCTGATGGGATTGGCAGAAGTGAGTCCTCCATAATTTGGGGTCCTCTTTCCTCTTTAGATTTTCGGGAGCGCAAAGTGTGTGCAATTGGTTACTCATTCCTTAGTAAATCCTGTGGTCTTGCTCTTGAAGCTGTCTGTCTGTTTTTCACAGGTAACACCCCCAGTTCTGCAAGGTGGCAAACATCAGGAGTGTGTGTTACGCAGGAAAGATAAGCCACCCTTCCCCCCCCCCCCCCCAAAAAAAAAAAAAAACAACAAAAGGAAACCAACAACAAAACATTCAGGAGGCTTTTATGCAGGTTGTTCGGATAGTTTTGTTAGCAAAATCTGGTTTCCAGGCAGGAACAGACTTGCCTTGCAAGGCAAAAATACTTGGTCTTTGGTAGCCCCCACTAGAGGCTTTTCACATCGGAGCCTTGATATAAAAATGCTGGTGTTTTCCTCCCTCACAGATCACAGGTTACAAGGGGAAGGAGTGATTTATACTAACCAAACAAATTGCAGATTTTAAAATTAAAAGAACAAGTGGTCAAGTTGGGTACTTAGGAACAATTTCTTCACTGGAAGGGTGGTCAGGCATTGGAACAGGCTGCCCAGGGAGTGGTGGAATCACCGTCCCTGGAAGTGTTCAAAACCCATGTAGACAAAACCCTCAGTGACATGGTTTAGTGGTGGTTTGGGCAGTGCTGGGGAATGGTTGGACTTTGCGATCTTAAAGGTCTTTTCCAACCTAAACAATTCTGTGATACTTGACAGGGTGCTGGGATGAAACAGCCTGGGCAGGAGGAGGCATGGGGAATGCAAGGAGGTGGTGCACTGACTTCTTGACATCTCTTTTTCCCTGCAGAGATGATGAGCAGGACCTGCCTTGTGAGCTGTCATGTCCAGGAACCACTCTGAGCCCTCAGGAGCAGGTTGAGGACAAAGCTGCTTGCAGTGAGTTTGCTTTCTGCTTGCCTGCCAAGTCATTCCTAGCAGACAACTTTGTTGGTTTTCCTTTTGCTGCTGTTTCTCTTCTCCCCCTGCCTTTATTCTAGACCCTTGCTGGCTGTTCTGCTAATTTTCCTGTCTGTATTGCTTTCTCTTATGTGGCTGCTCACTTGAGCTGGTGCCATCTCATTGGGTGCAGTACCTTTATTTTTTGTCATCATTACGGTTATTTCTCATATCTCTGCTCCATTCTCCAAAGGTTTTGGCCTTTGTAAGGATGTCTAAGGTGCTGTTTATTTTAGCTCTTCAGCGTACTGTAATTCAAGTTGATGGTTAGCATTGTAATAAGGAAAAAAGAACCCTGTTCTTTTGTGTGTTACCTCTTTAAATCAGTGTTCAGCTTAATCTGAGCACTTGTGAAAAGTTGTTTCCAGTGTATGTAATATGTATTTACAAGTGTACCTGGGTAGATCCAGTTTAAATCCCGTGTGACTGGAGGCTGGACAGAAGAACAACATCAAAATCTGAAAAGTTGTTAAAAGGAGGGAGGAGAGGGACATGCCAATATATTGCATTCTTGGAAGGAAATTGGCTATTATGTGAGAGAAAAGACCTGTTCTGCTTCCTTTTGAAAGGTATCTGGTGACTCATCTCTCTTTAAAAACCGCTATCACAAAACCCTGAGTTATGCAACTAATGTATAATTAGGTTTTTAGTAAGTCTGTGGTATTCACAACAAAATGTAAAGGCAAGCTTTTGTGCAGTAAAGGTAAGGATTTGGATTTGTCTTTTTTCTTGCTTGGAAACGCCCTGGCCAGAACTGGCTTTCTGTCGCTTTTCATAAATAGACCCTTCATACTTAAGGTTTCTTCACTATCTATGTATGGCAGGAGAGTTTTCTAGTGGTGGTGTGGTGGGGCTGAACACCACTGTGGTGCACAGGCTTACATGTGCCAAAGGAGAGCATTCTCCTTATGGAGCTGACGCTGCCTGAATTGCCTTATGAGATCATAATAATGGTAACAGTAAAGGATGGATCAAGAGGGCATCCTTGGAGTGAAGGAAGATAAACAGTGTGCTAGAATGTAGAGTTTAGATTTGTTTTACAAGGGTCGATCTGTTTGGAAAAATAAGTGATAGATATGTATGCTGCTTTCTATATCTGTTGGAACAGTGGTGTATGTATTATTTAAGAGAAATGATTATAACTGGAGTTGTTTGCACCAATTAAGTAGTCTGCTCTGCCTACAACTAAATCAACACCCAGTATTTTTCTGTTTCTTCCCCAGCAGATTCCTTATAGTGAGCTGTCATGGAGGATCCCATTACAGGTCTTGTTTGTTCCTTTTGTGGCAGCCTTTGGGAATGCCTCACATCCCACCAAGAAGAAACTCGGGGTGATAAAAATGTATTGCCTAACAAGGTTGTACTAATAAAAGAGATGTTGAACTGAATTTCACATTGCTTAGTGTTTAGAAACTTGCAGGCAGGATTAGGTTTGCACTTCATTTGAGCAGAACACAAGAATAGAAGCTGTATAGATTTTTAGGGCTGCTTTGGCAAGTTTAAGAATGTTGTGTGTTCTAGCATAAATAAGCCTTTGTAACTATAATTTGGGGCATCTAAATAAGGCATGCAGTACATGTAATGCAGTGTTTAAACAGTTGAGGTGTGAGCAAACCAGATTATCAGTTTTAGCTCTTTACCAGCCCTTACAGATTGTACAGAGCTGAAAGAGGTGTTGCTAAGAGAAATCAGACAGTATTGCAGGCTTCCAGGCCTCAACCTAGACAGGTTGAGAAATACGGTCTGGAGAGACTAAAAGGTTCAAGGGTTTACCTGGCTGTAAAACTTAGCTTGCAGGGATGCCTCACATTAGACCATGTCACCCAAAGCGCTGTCCAATCATAGAATTCCAGGTTGGAAAGGATCTCAAGGATCCTTGAGGTCCAACCTTTCTTGGCAAAACATAGCCTAGCCGACATGTCCCAGCACCAAATCTTAGCACTGTCCTGTGCTGGTGAATCCACCACTTCCCTGGAGAGATTATTCCAATGGCTGATTTTTCTCATTGGGAAAAAGTTCCAGAAAGAAAGTCCTTCTTATTTTACTAATAAAGAGGAATTGCTAATAGCTGCATTGATGTTTATGTTGGCTGATGGCTCTTCAGAATGAGCACTAAACTGCAAATCTGGTTTTGAAAACCATCTGCTGGGCAGGTAGCACCCAAGGTCAAATACTGCGTGCTTCTGGTTTCAGCTCACTTCCACCAGCTGTATAGGCTCTGCTGCCAGATCGTGGCCTGGAGAGGTGGCACTGCTGCTGTCCAGCTTGCCTCAGCTTCCTGCAGCCTCCTGGCTCACCTGGGTATTGGCTCATCCCACAGACTCCTTCCACATTAGATAAAAACCTTTGAGAAAATAACACGGAGTAAGATAGAGCAGCAGTGAAAAGGGTTGGAAAAGATCCAGTTTTGCAGCCGAGCTGTCTGTGTTCTCCTACCACAGCACTGCAGTGGGAACAGCAGTTTAGAGTTACCTGTCTTTGACTCAGATAACTGTGTTTAGTTAGCCACACAAACTGTTTCTGGTCTGGGGATATGATGGTTTCTAAATCTTCTTTATCTCTTCTGGCAGTCCCACTCCTTCCTTCTGAACTTCCAAGTTCATAAAGGATGTTTTCTGCAGCTTTGCTTTCTGTTAGTTAATCCCTCTCTTGCAGAGTCTGATTCTTCATGTATAAAATCCTAATTCTCTTGGCAAATCACTTCTTTCATTGTTGTCTTTCCCTTCCAATTTCTGCCATTTGTCTTTTCAGTCCTTTTTCCGAGGGGCTCTTTGGGACATTTTGGGAAACGCTCTGTCTCTGCTGAGTCTCATGTAAAAAGTGCAGTTATTTATGTGCAATCATTTTATCTCCAGTGGTGAAGAGTGTCATCGAGTATCATTGCTGCAGGCTTTGCCATTTTGCCAGCACTCCATGGCAGTGTTCAAGGCCAGGTTGGATGGGGCTTGGAGCAACCTGCTCTAGTGGAAGGCGTCCCTGCCTGTGGCAGGGGGTTGAAACTGAATGAGCTTTAAGGTCCTTTCAAAACGCAACCATTCTATGATTTTAAGGTTGCTGCAGGCAACATATTGTTTCCTAGGGATTGCTGTTTGAGTATTGTTAGAAAATGGTGAATAGCAGAATGAGAGTACACAGCTGTGTGAGGCACTGAATACCTGGAGTTGATAACAGATTTATAAAGCAGCCAGTGTTTAACTTCTGATTCCAAAATGTATAAACATTTGTATTTGGGTTTCTGGTGTCAATGACACTGTCATTGAGTGTACTTTTGCAATCTTTCCTGTCATTTCAGTGCTGTAGGTAGCTGGGCTGGGACAGTCTCCTTCTGATCTCAAGCTAGTTGGCAGGTGGACTTTGCTCTGCAAGCAGTCAAATGGTATCTGTATCATCCTGTGACTAGATAGCAGTATGCATGGAATCTTCTGAGCTCAGCAGAGGAGATCAGGTTTTTGATTTCCTACTCTGTTGGTGGATTAGTCCCAGAAAGACTGTTTCTGCTGCTGCTGTTGGATTTGCAGTGCTGCTATCAGAAGTGACAGGTTTAAGGACTAATCTGTGCCCCTGGTGCCCAGGTTCAGACTGACCCTTGCAATTTGCATGCGTCATCAGTATCTCAACTAGACCTTGTCTCCTTCCACTGCTGTTTTATTCATTAGCGCTCTCAGGATAAGAAAAGGTAATTGCAAATCAAACGGCATTTAAATTGGTACACCAAAAGGACAAATGAGGTCAAAACACTGCCCAGACAATGCTTTCATGTCAGGCCCTTGAAGGCTGTTCTCAGGGCTAGCCTGCAGCCTCTCTGGAGAGTGGGGTGATGATACCCATGTCACTGTTACCTGTTTCTTAAGTGAAACTGCTTTTTGTGCCAGTGCTTCCACACAACGTCTCTCCAGGCTTTTCCTCTGGCACAGGATAGAGCTGTTTGAAGGTTGCTGGACACAATGGATGTCTGGAAGGATGTCTGGAGTATTCTGCTGGAGTGAAGTCCTTCAGCCTGTAGTGCTGAGCTTCTGGATGTGTGGTCTGCTTCTGAGGGGTCTGTCATGTCTGGAGGCTTGCATTCACTGAACAGGGAGGTTTTGCTTTATTTGAGGGGAAAAAATAAGTCTACAGATCAAGGGTCAGAAGTCCTGTGACAGCAGGGAGATGGTTTAATTTGATTGTCCTTATCTTACAGTGTGGCCTTTAATTTCAGGAAGCAGAAGGGGAATGAGAAGATATCTCTACCCAGATGGAGTACTGGTAGTTCTGATGTGAGGTTCTCCACACCTCAGAGAAAACTCCTATGCCAAAGTGGGTCCTTTTTTGCCCCTTGTTGCCTCCGCAACAGCAGAGGGCACAGAGCTGATCCAGGCCAGACACTGTTTGTTCATGGTGACATTGCTTTCAGGTTTTGATTCTGGCTTCCTTGATGTTTCTGTTCATATTGTGGCTGGCCTGTGTCGATCTGAAATTACCCAGAATTAGTGTGGATCCTCTGGGACACTGGGCAATTTGGTTAGTCCAGGTCAGTTCAAAATGAAATACTATGTTTGGATCCACTTTACAAACAAAACTTTAATGTTTTTGTTTTTTGGCAGAAACAACTTTTTTCCCCTAATGGAAAATTTCTGTTTTTCTCAGAATTCTCTTTCAGAAGATCTCCCCTATGGAAAAGTCCAAGCCAGCTCCAATCCTAATACTTAATGCCAGAAAACATGTAGCAGACATTAGCAGAGGGTGACTCGGGGTATAATATATCATTTAGTCCTAACTAGGGCAACATAGCCACATGAATTAGAGAACATAGCAGGCTCAGCATCCCTAGCTCAGCATGCAGTAGGCAATCCACCAAAAGCACACTTGCAGAATAGAGGAAAAAGAGTTTTCAGTTTTGAAAGCTCAGTTGAAAAGCTGACAAAGAAACTGCCAAAATGTTATCAGATGCACCTTATCTGCTTCCTCTTGCTGGCTTCCAAAGCCAAAGTGTTTGTTTTACAAAGAAGATATTTTTTGTTGTTTGCTGTTTTAGCAGATAGTTTTACCAACAACCAGTCTGAAAGAAAAGGTTTCCTCCTCCTGTGACAAGTGTGCTGGGGAGAACAATCATCTGGCATGTTTGCAGGCACAACATACTTCAATGTTGAAGTAGGTTCTATTGATGCACAAGAAATAATCGCTTCCAGTCCTTCTCTCACAGCCCTAATGCTGCTTTTCTACTCTGAAAAGAGACCAGCTGACTGAGGAAAGCACTGTTCCCTTCAGCAGAAAAAGGATTTGGGATTCATGCTTGTCTCAGAAAGTAACTTAAAGCCTATTTGTGGAAGCATTGCCAGATCTAGTACTCATCTGGGAAAAACAGCAGGCTTCTGGACAGGAAATGTGCAAGACAGCATCACTTTGGGAAGGGAAAAGGATGGAGAAAGGCAGGTGCAGTGCTTCACACTGTGGTAGTGCTTATGTGTCCTTCCACACTGTGTTGGTGGGTCTCTGTTTTCATGTGCACTGCACAGGCCCATCTTTTAAGGGCTGAGCTCACAGACTGTAACCAGTTACCTCAAACTTCTGTCTCAAACATGGACTTTAATGAATATTAAGCCTATCCAGGTACTGAAGTACTTTTCCTTGTTTAGCTTCAGTGTAAACTGCTGCTTTCTGCCTGCCTCTCATATGAACTAAGCAAAAAGAGTAGCTCTGGTTCAGGTTTGCCTCTGTGGTGTCATGGGCCAGCACGTGGTCTTTAGCAGCAGCCCAGTACTGCTCCATCAGCACAACTTGAGGGCAGAACTTTTGATGCCTATGTGGATGCACATTAGCTGAAAGCATTTCTTAGAGCATGAGAGCAGACCAAGCCATTATGCAGTCACAGTCCCACTGCTGCCCACTGAAAGTCCCAACAGCACAGGAGAATGAATTGATTACTCCTTTTCCTTAAGGGGGATGACTTCCAGACACACCTAGAGAGACTATCTACAGACCAAACTGCAATAAATAGCCAGCCACAGACTCCTCAAATTGATGTCAAAGGCAATGAAAAGGCATTTGATTTTATCACTCATTTCAAGTGTGAAGAACAGGTTTCCTCGGCCCAAAGATAGCTGTGAATTTTTGGAGATTTTGTTAAACCATTAGCAATGTAAAAGTGTGAATTTATTTGAACTTTTGAAAAGATTTATTGCAGCTGAACTGAATTTCATTCAGTTTGGATTTTGAATCTTCAAATTTGTTGACTTTCATCTGCAGCCTTGAGAATCCGATGCATGATGGGCACTAACCAAATGTCTTTACCAGTGTGCTCGGTCCTGACTTGGGCATGTCTTTGATGCTGTTTGCCCCAGAGCCTTCTCTTCAAGGCAGGACTTTAATTTTTAATGTAAAAGAGAAGCAGGTGCAAAAGAAATTCTTTTAGAGTAAGAAGTACCCAAAAACCCTTTCATATCCTCTGTGCATTATAAAAAGGGAAAAAATAAGAATAGTCCAGATGTTCTGTGCCCCCTTCCTTTCTCCTTTCATGATTTGGTCAAGCACTAATATCTGGTTTGGGTTTTTTTTTAGTGTGTTCCTTTCCCACAAAGAAGCAGATGAATAATGTTCCTCTTGTTTGTTATCTGAAATATGAAGTTTTACACTGCTGCCCCTCAGGTGCCATCATGAGCTGCCCTTGCACTTAGAAACAACAGACAAAATCCTACTGGCTTTTTCTGTTGTTGCATCTTGATTTTGAGAGTGATAAAAATGGACGTCAGAATGGGGTGACAGCATTTAGGACCCATTTTGTTTCTCAGGGTTACAGAGTTAGAAGCACTCAGCCTTCCACTGTTCCTGCAGGAAAGATCAGCCAAACCCTTCATGAAGGAAATCTTGTTTTTAGAGATTGAGCAATCTCTTAATGGTGAGGTTTCCACCTGAGCAGCTGTTGGCAGTTCCGAAAGGGTTCAGTTTAGCCTGTTCTCGCTTCTAAATATGTGAACATAAATATGTACTTAAAAAGGGAGAGGTAAAAAGTAATAGGAAGTGATGCAGGGTGATATGCAAACCCCAAACGTTCCTTATTTATCTTGTATCTTTGCACTGAGCGCAGCATTGCGTAATGTCACAAGTGCTGAATATTTTCTCTAGTGAAGTGATGCGTTTAATTAAATTGACTGTTTAAAGTTCAGTTATTCATTAAAGGTACACAGCTGTCCAGAAAGGCGTGCTGCCCTTGGCTATACTGACTGTGCTAATCTCTTACATAGTCCTCTTTAGAGGACTGTTAGGGATATGAACTAAAAAACCCATTATTTCATAGAATTCACACACAAAACAACCATGGAGAGTGTCTTGGCCAGTTAACTGCATAGACGTGTACCTGACAACTGTTCACTGTCTGATACCAGCAGGTCAGGGCGTGCATGTCCTTTGTTTTCTCTCTCACAGAATCTGAACGTTGCTGCTGTTAGACATTACTCACAGCCAGGGCTGAGCCTCAGCCCTCTTCTGACAGCTACGGCCTCTCCTTTGACCAGTGTGGGGGCCTTGGGCATTCCTGGTCAGCAGCTCACCTCTGAAGGGTGTTTTCGTGTTGGAAGCAAGCAGATACAAAGGCTTTGCAAAATTCACATGGCGTTTATCCACAACAAAGAATCCTAGAATAGATTGGGTTGGAACGGACCTTCAAAGGATGCACAGTGCTCGGCAAACAATAAAACATTTATTCGTGTCCATGCTCTTATTTTTCTGGTTTCCACTGCTCAAGTGTTCTCTGTGTTGAGGTTGAATCTTTCAGGGCCAGTAGCCCTCTGCCAGCAGATGTCTTTCCTGAAACAGAGGGGCCTTGTTTTCTCCCAGCATCTTTTGCCCTTGCCTAGCCTCAGTGTAAAATACCCTTTACTGTAGAAATATGTTTCTTATTTCTCTCATCTGCCGAAGGTTCCTTTCTTGCCAAATTTTGTCTTCTGTCTTCTCAGGTACAGCACTAGTTTGATCATGTTTTCGTTTGCTGGAAAATCCCATTGTCAGCCCGTGAGAGAGACAGAAAACTGGCTTTATCAGGAATAGAGTTACTCTTGTTCTCTGAAATTCTGAAGGGCTTGGTTTCTAATGGCCTTTGCTCAACCTATGGGTGGATAAGGATGTAGAAGACACTGTGATCTTTACTCAGGATAAGGAACATAGAGTAATAGGCTGCAAAAGATAGAAGATAAGGAAGCAAACATTTGGGTCTCAAACAAATTTGATTCAAGAGGTTTCTTTACCTACTGAAGTGTCAGTGAGGCTGTAACAGCTCGCTCTATATGTGAAAAGCTAAACTGCAGCACAGAATCCGGGTGTGCTTCGATAAGGGTAAAGCCTTGAAAAGATATGGCGTATTTTCTTGATTCTGTCAAGACAATGTAATCTCCTACTATCTAGGAAAGCTGATACAAGAAACACTGTCTTTGGGGGTTGCAAGTGTCTGCTGTGGAAGTAAAGTAAGTGGTGTTTAAAGGTCAGAGCTCTCTGTTGATAAGAGATATATTGAAAGGGCAAAAGAACCACAGAGGACTTCCTGCGTCATTACAGCAGGTGCTGGATGAAGTTGAGAGTAGCTGAACAAAGCAAACCACAATGACGATAGGATATTCACAGCAAAATGCGGAAATAATGAGTCATTCCCACTTATTAAAGTGGAAGGGGAAGATACTTCTGCCTCAATTTATCTATGGGATATAAAGGTACCCTTTAACAAAAGAGGAAAAAAATCCCTTTAGCCTAATCAACCCAAATCCGTTCAGACTATGGAAGTTACCCAAAAATCAGTATTTTTCAGGTTTAATCTTTCCTTGTAATCCAAGTGATATGTTGCTTGGTTGTAAACAAACACATCCATACTCACAAGTGTTTCTCAGATAACCAGAGCTAAACAGTGTTAGCAAAACCACGTAGTTGAGGATATGTCTTCAGTGGTCTGCAGTGCTGTATGAAGACACCCAGACCCTCTCTGGGTTACGTCACCAGTCTGATTACCTTGTGGTCTGTTGCCCAATTTGTGGTTCAGGGCAAGCCCATCTAATGTGCTGTGCCATAGCAACTTGGTTGCAATGATTTAAGCAGATAGAAAGCACATACTATTTGGAATAGATTATCCCCATGTAATAGATAATGTATTGATTTGGGAATTTATTTTATTGGATTTGGTTTTTCTTAGTGAATTTTGACTTCCCAAAAGGAATGCTTATTTGAGGGAAGACTTGCCACTGTAATTTCCAAGAGATTCCTGCTGTTTTATGCAGATTTATATTTCAAACCCTCTACTATGTAAAGTGACCTCTTTGACCATCAGAAGCTTTTCCTAAGAGCTTACTAATATGCATGTTCTGGTGCTACTTATTGCTGTAGTAGTAAATCAAGTTGTACATGTTGGATGCCTAAGGTGCTCAGCTCTTACCCAGGCTCTGAAACAGTCCTCCTTAACAAGGCAGGCTGATGCTGTCAGGAAAGCTCAGTCCTCACAGAGACTGTCCATATGGTCTTTGACCGTCTGTTGGTATGAAGACTAGCATCTTGCAAGAACTGGAAGTCTGATAATGTGCACAGTGTGAGAGTGTGTAGGGATAGGTTAACCTAATAGGATAACATAATAGGTTGACATCATTAGTGCTTGGTCACCTAGGTGATGGATCTTGCTGCTCTAGTAACCTGGAGGCTACATTGCTCATCAAATATGGATTTTAAAAAATGGGAATGATTTAAGGCGTTTGTCTCTTGTGTTCCCTGGAACTGCATGTTACCCTGTGAAAATATTTACAAGAACTGTAAAATGAGACTTTCAAGTAAAGGTTTTATTTCCTTTTTTTTTTTTTTTCTTGGAATTTTGTCTTGGAAAAGACATGATGTTCATTGTCAGGCATCAAATTTTGATAGAGATTTTTTGAGGACAAGTAGAGCTATTGTATTACCTTCTGAACTCTTGTTTCTTAGGACCCTCCCTTACTAGGCAAGCTGATATTTTTCACATGTATCTAGAGGAGTGTGAGCCAACTCAACATATGTATCTTTGGGCATCCACATGGACTTCTCATATACTTGTGCCAGCATGCATACATGCAGCCACGTGCTGTTCCAGAGCCACATCTGGAAAGTGGATATTCTGTGTATGGCTTATGGAAGATTGTGGGATGCTCTAACTTCTCTTTCTTGACCCAGAAGAGAGGTGATTTTAATACATGAGGTGCTTCCAGTGCAGTAACAGTGTAGTATGGTTCATTCAGGGATGCAAACTTATATTGTGTAGGAGATTTTCTTGGATTCAGACTCCAGCATGTTTTGGTGTTTCTCACTGAGAGCTGTGAAAGATGATTCAGAAGTCACAAGAGCACAGAGTGGGAGATAGCTCATAAGACTACATGTCTTTTTTTGTGATGACTATATAAAAACTGGCTGTGTGTTTTCAGGAGAACAGCATATGCCCTTTGCTACCCACAGTTTATCATCTTTTTTCACTTGAACAGCGAAGATAGTAGAATAGGAGATATTTCCTTAATTCCTATGCAGCGGTACTTAAAGAAAGAGAGTTTTTTAGTTTTCTCTTGGCAGAACAGGATGGGATGAGGCGAATATGTCCTGAGGACTTGTGGAGGGACAAACCAGTATATCCTCCATAATCAGACCTGGCTGACGAGACTTCCTGCTTTTTGGAAGATTTTACAAGGGATGAATAAAAATCTGGAATAGCACTAATGAAATCAAACCCAGGAGTGATTAAAAATGAGACTGACAGCTTCCTGTACCACATGCACTCTAGGCTTACCATGAAGATGGAGCAGGACCAGCATGTGTACCCCAGGAGTCCATCAAGACAAATCTCCATGTAAATGGAGAGCCACAGAATGCAGCAGCCCATTCATCAGAAACAGATCTGTGGAAATACCCCAAAGGGTAACCCCAGCCATGCTTGGAATGACAAGAGAGTTCTCTGATGTCCCACCCTACAGTACTGAAGCTTTGCCTGCTCCTGGCACAGCCAACTTTGTGGCTGTTGATACAGCTGTGTTAGATGTTTAGGAAAAGCCTGAGAAGAATATATGTTCATGGCACTCCGGCTGTAATAGAAACCTGAAAATACTGTATCTGGGCATTAACAAGACTCTTTAAATGCTCTACCGGCCAGCATCTTCACTGGCAGAACAGGGACTAGCTTCATCTACATGATCTGCTAGCTGATGATTTCTTATATGTAGCATTAAAGTGTAATACACATTCTTGGGAATAGGGGTTATTGGTGGGGAAGGATACCATTTAATAGGCCTTGACGATAGAAACACAGAGGAGTGGAGCCTGCCACTGGAGGATGCTCCAATGACATAATGTCATCTGGATTAGCTACAATGAAAGGGTGGATAGCAAAAGTTTGAGTGTCTACTTGTAATCTGGGGTATCTGCTTGGAATTTGGGTTGCCCTTGTTCCTGAGCATGAAGGTGTTCAATAGTATGAAGGGACAAGAAGAGAGTATAGAGAGCTTGCTTTAGCTAGCTACATGACTACTGGGCCCATGTAATGAGCTGGATTAGAGTTAATCTAATTACCTCTTTTATTGCTTGTCCATTGGCACCTAATGGTGGTGAAGTCCAGTTGATCCCGTGAAGCATTTTCTTCTCATCAGGGAGCAGCTGCCTTCTATGTCATGTGAGATTAGGCCAGCTTTCATGAAACAACAACAAACAGTGAGGGATGGGTGAGAAAGTTTTCACAGAAGCTTGTTCTAAGTGTTTCACCATTAAATACTAGTTCTTCTAGTACTACTTCTTCTTGATCCCAAAGGAGGCAGACTCTGGCAGAAAGGATTTGTTTGTGGCTGGCAAGCTGGGTGAAGATGAAAGTCCTGGAAAAGTCCCCTTCATGACTGACTTCTGCAAGGGGACCTCCTTTTAATTCCTGGCCTGCAAGATCACAGGGCTGAAGTGCTGCTACCATGTTCGTGAAGCTGGAGCCCTGTCATGTGAGTGTACCAGACACTAAATAGGAGTGAGTAGCTACAGCCCTTTTTTCCCCCAAAAGCAAGCCAACTGTTTTTTCTCACTGCCTTGGAAGATAAACCCAGTTTCCATATTTCCATGTTGTCAGCTGGATTTCAGGTTCTACTCCTCATCATAAAGTTGTCAAGGATCGTTAATAGTAGTGATAAGTGAAGACGGGGCAAATATAATAGGGGGGAGTATGTAATTCTTTTAGCCCTATACTATACTTACTGCTTATGCTTGTAGGGCTGAAGCAAAGAAGAGCTAGAGGTTCCTATACCAGGTGTTTTATCTTCAGCTTTTTTAACACTTGAACGTGTTTCACCTGGTGAGTGCAGGGGGAAGTGGGTAGATCATTGCCATCACTTAAGATTAAGAACAAATTTTGGAGCTCTTTTCAATAATTTTCCTCTTGGAGCTGAGGAGTATTGGCAGATCTGCCTATAAATAAGTTGCATTTGTTCACCAGAAAAGCTGATGGTCCAGTGGCCCAAGCCATCCAAATGGGTGGGAGCAGTTGAGGGTAAGGTGGAGCTGATGAGGCCATGCTCAGGGCTGTGTAAAGTTGGCTGGCCCAGAGTAAAAGAGGCTTCTGGGGTTCAAGAAGTCAGCTATCCTAGATAAAGATGCCTCTGGTCAGGGTTTGGAGTAAAGCTATTTTTGGTGAAGGTGTTTGTAGGTGACATCTTTGTTCCCTTGTACTTGGGACTTTCGGAACAGAAGCATGGCAATTACTAGATGTGGCTTGCTTTGGCTTTATTTCATTTGGGCTGCAAAGCAGAAGACACTTGTATAGCAACAGCTAGATCGATTTCTGCCGATTGCTGACTCTGAGCTTACTTGAATTGGTATAATATGTGCTGATGCTATAAATAAAAGCAGTTCTGTCTCTTGCACTGAAAACTCTTTGTCAGACATGCAATGCTGAGATTTTGTTAGGTATTAATGAAGTTACAGGTATGTGTAGGATGCCATGTGTTGCTGGGAGGGATGGCAGATTCTTTCCATGTGACCCAGTTTGCAGTAGGTTTGGGGATGACAAACAAGGTGTCTGAATAAAACGGTTGATGCCTGAGTCATGCTTCCCAAAAGAAGGCAAAAAAACTAAGGATGTCCAAGCAGTTGTTGGGCGTGGGTTTTTAGTGACACATTTTACTCTGCATGTCTAACATACTGGCCATGGTTTTGTTGTTCTTGGGTTTTCTCATCTTTCTGGTGTCTATTTGCAGTGCTGCATTGAAAGGCAAGGTATCAAAAACAAATACCAAATCTAGAAACCAGGGCAAGAAGGAGGAGTTCGTGTTGAAGTCTCCATCTCCTAAGGATTGTTGGTATTACTACAATGTCCTGTGATACTTCATCCCTCATGGGTTCAAGGTAATGATAGTTTTCTAAGCATGTAACATAAAACCCTGAGATGTTCATCAAGATCTGCTAATTAAAGAGACAGCAGACATGTAGAGGATGTGGCTGTCACAAAACACCACAGCAGTTACCTCTGAGCTTTGAAAAACAGTTCAACAGTCAGACTCCTGGACAGGGATGACATTTTCTTTCCTCCTTTCCTGCATAAGGTCCACTGGGGAGCTGGTGCTTTTATTCAGTATCATGCTTCTTCCTCTTCAGTGCTCTTGCCAGAAAGTTACTTAATTCAGGCTGAGCATGCTCAGTCACTCTTAGCAAGCCCTGAAGAAGTAAACTGAGAGATAAGAAGGTGGGGTGGCCTTGGCTCACTCTGCCTGTCTCTTACTTTCTACCCAGCTGATCAGGCATAAGAAAGGAAAAGTGTACTTTCAGCCTATTACTGAGTTCTGCTCAGTTTTACAGCATACAGTCTAGTACAAGCCCTTACTGGAATGGCAGTGGTAAAGCAGAATGATTTAAGGACTCTAAAATTCACATTTTCTTCCATCCTGATAAGAGTGAGGGAATATTAATACCAGGCTAACCTCTGAAATAGATGCAGCTCAGTAAATAGCAAACATATTGGGTGGCTCGAAATATATTACGGCACTTACCTTGTGCTCTTTCTTTAATGTTGGGGGTTTTTCTACATAGAGTTATACTTTTTTGCATGGTGAAAAGTGGCAAGGTAGAGAATATATCAGTTTCTCTAATAAAGGTTTATAAAGTCCCTGCCAATCCCATCACTTGTGAAGCGCTATGGTGCTGCTCTGCTTAATGAAAGATCAGTCAAGGAAATTGTTCCTGGTGTTCAACTTAATTACATGCAAGAGATGGAAACTTTGTTATCAAAGACTAATAAAGTACCAGGTGGCCCTAATGAAGTCAGTGAGGTGGCAGTTTTAAACTGAAACCTGCTTAATAATAGAAAAGACAGTAGATTTGAGCAAGATGCTTTATAAGCAGTATGTCACTTCTCTGCTGCAAGGCAAGAGACACGTTTTAAGCTGCATTAGCAGGAAATGTAAGTTCATTGTCAGTGTTTATCCTCTCAGCCTCAGACTGAAGGGCCTGTAGCTGGAGGATATTTCTTGTTGAAGAATTCTTTTAGTCTGAATCTCAGCCTGTGGTGACTGGGGTGACTTTTCTTACTGCTTGCAAAGCCATTTATCCCCTTGTGGAACTGAAGTCAGGAGATGGCTCAGTGACATGCTGTGAATGATACTAATTTTGAAACACTAAATAAGGTGCTTAAAGTTTTAGACCTTGAATGTTGACCCATTTTATAATCATTTGTGTAGTCTATAATTTTTTTAATACCTGTTTTGGGTTCATTGTTTTGCTGAGAATAACTTCCTCACCAATCCTGCGAAGGTTTTTCTTGTGGTACAGTAAAATTAATACGAGTATTCCAGTAGATACTGCAAACTGGTAGATTGTTCAAGGCCCTTGTGCGTATTTCCATTTGAAACAAGAAAAAAAATAGGTTTTAGAAAAGCTCTTTTGTAAAGTGTATGTCAAAACTAGCAGTATCCTGCAGGATTCCTGGCCTCGTGTGGAGCGGTTTTCACTCTGTGGGCGCTTTTGGGGGCCAATTCATGTTTTACAGGGTGATGTTGTTTAAGCTGTACCTAGGTATGAGTTGCAGCACCAGTGGGCTCTCATGTGGGGCTGCTGCCTGGTGGAGAAGAGCCAGACTGGTGCAAGCAGACTGCTTCCAAGCTATGAACAGGGATCTGCCCGAATACATACACTCTGATCTTAGTCTTGCGTGTTTGATCAGTGCTGCTTTCCACTTAAAACAGGAATTTAGTTGTTGTACTCCAAAGACCCAGTTTGATTCAGTAGCTGACAGCCCAGCACCTGACTTGCATAGAAAGGGTGACAGGACAAGGGGGAATGGCTTTAACCTGATAGAGGGGAGACTGAGATTAGACAGTAAGTTCTTCCCTGTGAGGGTGCTGAGGCGCTGGCACAGGGTGCCCAGAGAAGCTGTGGCTGCCCCATCCCTGCAGTGTTCAAGGCTGGGTTGGACGGGGCTTGGAGCAACCTGCTCTAGTGGAAGGTGTCCCTGCCTGTGGCAGGGGTTGGAACTGGATGAGCTTGAAGAGATCCCTTCCAGTACAAACCAGTCTGCGATCCTATGATTCAAGCTTTCTGTGCCATTTATGTATTGAGAGATTTCACATCACTTTTCCCCAGCTGTCATCCTGGCTTTAGATTTCTCCTCTGTGATGTGCTGCCCAGTGGTCTGGAGACAAGAGAGGTAACATGGCACATGGGAAGAGTGTAGCCAAACAATCTGAAAACATGCCCAGGAGTGATGAAGGGGGCAGAATGCAGGATAACCTGGTGCATTGAGGGGATTTCTACCCTTCTGCTCTTGTTCTGGATATTTCCTTGGTGTAAGGCTAAGTGTCATTTAGGATAAACATCATTAGAGTAGTTAGCAATTGCCTTGTAGCTTGTCAGAGAAGATCCTGATGGTGTATCTTGGTTTGCATGTCGAGTGTGAATGTTTGGAGTGTGAGCACTCCCGATGTCAGAAACTCGGGACCATTTTGTCTTAATTTGAGCTCCTAATGAGGAGCCATTTTGGAACTGCTGCCCCTTATGTCTGTGTGAGATAGAACTTGCAACCCTGATGTAACTTCTACCCACACGGTGGGATGCTGGGGGAGACTGAGCAGCTCTAAATATTGAGCAGTGGCAAGTCAGCACTATGAGCAATGGTCGTGAGTCAGTGTTGAATCCCTGCCAAAGATGCCTTTTGCAAATAAAACTTAGCACTAATTTATCAATGGTTTAGTTCATAACATGATGTAAAGCACTCAGTACATAATGAATCCTTCTGGGTCGAAAGAAAATGCTCATGACGGCTTCATTATAAATAAATACCATGTTTAAGTGGACTGAATCAATGTAAGGGTATTGCTGTTTCTCTGCTGTCATTTGCTGCTTTCCTTACTACCCACGGCTGGCAGAGAGCCTTTTGTTAATGTGGTTTTTTACCCGTTTTGTTACTTTAAAGCTGTTAACATGTTCTTTACTCCTGTCTGTGCTGTGCTAGTGGGTCCTGCCTACAGCCAGGTAGTGCCCCACTGTTCATGCTGTTCCTTTGCATCTGCAGTCCCTCACTGTCAGAGCAGCTCTCCTCCCCACCCAGCATTTAGTGGCACAAAAGCAACCACCCCAATTCTCTTGTGCATATCATACTCTTCTTCTGTCAGGAAGGGCTTTTCTAGATCATTGTCCCTGTGGTGAAGGTAGTCCATCTGTTCTGCTGCCTAGCGCTGATCCTGGAGGAGAGACCACCTGAACCTTCTCGGTTCTTCCATGGATTCAGGTCCCAGGCCTTGAATCAAATGGCAGCTTTCCCATGGTAACCTTTGCTCTCTGTGTGCATCTGCTCCAGGCTGATGCATCCTCAGGCCTGGTGAGTTGCTTCGTTTTCTTTAAGTCTGTGGCTTGTTCTGTTCGGTTTTTTCCATTGCTCGAAACCCGTGTAGATGAGGCCCTCAGTGACATGGGTTAATGGTGGCCTTGGCAGTGCCGGGGAATGGTTGTTGGACTTGATGGTCCAGCCGTTAAAGGTCTTTTCCAACCTGGTTGATCTGTGATTTGCTGACCCCATTTCAGCAGTGCCATTTGCAGAACTGCAGGCTTCACACCACAAACACCCAGGGCTCCCCGGGGCTGCACCCCCCATCTCATAATCTTGCGGTGGGGCTGAGAGCTGCAGCCCGAAGCTGTCACCGCAAGAGCCGGTGGTGCCTGGCAGAGGGGGAGGGCACCGCCTGGGGCTCCGATGGGGCAGCAGCCGTGGGTGCCGCTGGCTGGCAGGTCCCTACAGACAGGTTCAACCGCCGGAGCCTCGGGCGGTGCGCTCGGGTACCCCGGTGGCTGCACAGCCCGAGCCCCCTCCCCGGTGCCGGCGGCGGCTCCTCCCCGGGGCGGTGCCGGTGCCGGCGGCGCGGTCGGCGGCGGAGCGGGGCCATGGTGAAGATCGGCGTGCAGCAGCCGCCGGCAGCGCTCAAGCCGGAGAAGGAAAAGGCGGCGGGGGGCGATGGGGCGGCCGGCGCCGTGAGTGCGGGGCGGGCGGGCCCCGACCCTCTTTGCGACGGGTTTTCCCCCTTTATTCCGCTCAGCCGAGCTGGAAGGGGCGTGCGGGGGGTCGGGGTCTGCTCGCACCCGCTGCTGCTGGGGGAAGTGGAGGTGTCCGGTTGTATGGACGTTGGGTCGCATCCTCGGGGCTGCGCGGGCTTCCGGAGCTTGAAGGAGGGAGGGATGGGGCTGGGCAGTGCTACCATTGCCGGGAGCGGTTGCCTTGGGCACTGGAGTAAATGGGGAAGTGGCATCGGAACTCATCCCTTTCGTCTAGGTGGTTTGGGTGGATGTGATTTGGGATTGATCGTATGTGGGTGGGTTTCACATTCTAACAGCTCTTGAAGGCTTAGGGTTGGCATGGAGGGAGAGGCGAGAGAAGCAAAGCGGCTGGTGCTGGAGCAAGATGGGAAGTGAGGGGATAAGAACACAGGCAGCTCTCTAGATGCTTTGCAGTTTCCAGCATGGGGGTTGAGATGCTGAAATTGAATTGCTCTCATGGGTTCAAGTGATGGGTATGAGGAGATCAGGTCCTGCTGGGTGCAAGGGGAATGAAAATGCTGGATCGAATGAATGCTGAATGAAGGCGGATGCAGAGCACAGCTGGGGCCTTGGGCAGAGTTATGCCGAGTCCATTCCAGCCTGTGTGAGTCATGGGCAGGCACTGCCAGACAGCGCTGGGCACATACCTGTGGTGGTGGTACAGATGGTGCTCGAGGAGTGAATGGTGGAATGGGCACTGTTGTGCTTGGCCAGGAGTTGAGTGCGCCTAAAGTCCCTTGTGCTAGAGAACCCCCAGCTTGCACCCTTCTGTGAGGGTGGACACACTGGGATAGGCACCAGACCGCATAGAGGGGACGGTATTGTCCAGAGAGGTGAGAGCGACCCACAGCATCAAGTCTGCCTTGTTAGCATGCTCCTGTATGAGAGCAGGAGACATACATGGCATTGCTGTATTCCTCATGAGTGCTTTGGACTGTGGGTGAAGGTTGATCATTTACAGAACCCTAATACCTCCTTGCCTCAAGAAATGGGAGCTCTGGTTTTGCTCCATTCCTGCAGCAGTGCAAAGCATCCCTGGCCCTGGAGAGCTGATCGGCAGGAGGTGCTTCAGGAGATGGCTCAGTTCTGCAGGGAGTTGCTTACACTGGAATGATCTCTCACATCACGCACAGATGTGCTTGCAGCTCTCGGCTGTGCTGTTGGTGTCCGAATGTGCTCATTCTGTCATGGTTGCATCTGTTAATTGAAGGGCTGGGAGCTGTGTAGAAACCTGTAATGGGGGAGTGTGGCCAACTGTGACTTCTCAGTGACTCCCAGGCTTCATCTTTCCTAATAACACACACAAGAAGGTGGTAGGTTTCTTGCTGCCTTTGATGCCTGACCATGAAAGTTGACTGTCACAGTGGACTTCCAGCTCGTGCTGCCATAAAACCAGCTTTCTGCAGCTGAGGAGTCACTTGTTCTGTCAAAGGAATTTAGTTGGATTAGGTAGTAAATAAGACATTTTGGGTTCTTTGCGTTGCCTTGGGCTGTTTTCTGACATCTGGAGGGCACAGTGTTGTTCTTGCAAGCCCATGTGAACTACAAAGGTACTTAAAAGCATGAATTTAGAATAATGACTCTTCAATAGTCTCTTAATTCCAGTGGACAAACATGTAAGAAAATCAGGGTAAGGCCCATGGCAGGAGCAGGTTCTGGTGGGTCAGTGCAGCACGAGGGTGTCCAGAGAGCAGCACATCCGCTGACAAGAGGGTGGCCTTTTCCTGATGCTGTTTTTCAGGTATCTGTGACACTGGGGTCTTTGGTGTAGTTTGTACTTGGCTGGACCAAGTACAAGCTTTGTCAAATACCCACCTTGTGGGTTTAGCATTTCCATAGGCAGGCTTTCCTGTCATGCTCCTTCTCCTGCTGCCAATAATTCTGTTCGTGTGTGTCTTTCCCTAGCTGCCTTGCAGCAAAATGGCATTGGTGACATGCAAACAAGATGCTCTGCATTCCTTTTCTCTTTGATCTCACAACTTCAGTCCCAGTGATAGGAGCCAGAGCTGGGAAATGATTCAGTGCCGGCTTCCGCAGCCTGTGAATTTTGGCAGGTGCTCCACGAATGCAGAGATATGGCAGGCAAGAAGATGTCTGTGATGCTAATGTGTCCTGAGAAGCAGTAGGTGAGGAGTCCTGACAGCAAGCTCACGTGCTTTCTCCCTGGTGCAGCTCAGTTTGAATCAACAGGAATATGCAATTTTCACTCAGAAAATTCATGTGATTTTGAGGCAATTGCAACATTTTAAGGGCTTATAAAAGCAACAGTCTTGCTGTCATTAGTGAGAGCTGGGAGGAGGCAGCAGCCTTGAGCAGGAGGCAGTTTGAGGTTCTGCAGTCAGTAAAATGATCTTTTGAAAATACTTTCTCAGATGCAAAATAGTATTGAGTTTTAATTGAACCTCATGAGTTAGAGCCTGAAATGGAAATAAGCACATACACTATGTCTTTAACTCCTTGTTTGAGGAGTTAAATAAGCTCCTTTGTGATGGAAGTTGAAATCCAGAGGAACTGAGTAAAGCTGATGGCTGGAGCTCTCCAGTCAAAATGTGGGTTGGGGGATTTTTGGTTGATTCCTTGTAAACCCCTCTATCACTTGTAGCCAGTTATTCTGCAGAGACAGTGCAAGACCCTGAGAAGAAGGGGTTTTATTGAAATCATCTTCTTCACCAGCTGCAAATGCTAAATATTGGAGGGAAGGGGTGCCTCTCATCCCTCTCACTGTGTATGTAGTGGAGACTGTCTGCTCAGCTGACCTGGCCAAAGGCTCTGCCATGGAAGTTGTGAATGCCCCATCCCTGGCAGTGTTCAAGGCCAGGTTGGACAGGGCTTGGAGCAACCTGCTCTAGTGGAAGGTGTCCCTGCCTGTGGTAGGTGTTTGGAACTGAATGAGCCTTGAGGTCCCTTCCAACCCAAACCAGTCTGCGATTCTGTGTTTCTCTATCCTGGAGTTACCAATGCAGTGACGCTCAGAGTTGGGCTGCAGCACATGGGGCAGGTGGAGGAGCAGTGGCCATGCAGCTTGGTGGGAGCTGCTGTGCCAGTCAATGCAGTGCTGGGTTTTGTGAGTGACTTCTTTGCAGGATGCTGTGAGGTTATAGCAGATGGTGAGGGAAGGGGGATGTGAGGAAAAGCCTTTTAAACAGGCTTGTTCTCAAAGCAAGCTGTAAATCCAGAGAGAGAGAAAAACAGCTGGCAGCAGCAGGAATTGATTGTGCTCATTGATAGGTTTCCAGGCTTAATGCTGCTGAGCTGTGGGTATTTTCACCATGTCTTGATTTAGGGATCTAAGTAGGACAAATAATTAATAGAACTGCCTCCTGTAACCAAAGGCTATTCCTGGCATTTGCCCAGCCTTCCCATATCCACATGGCCTGAAGTGATGACTTCTTTTTGTGTCTTGTCTGGAGTCGTCAGCTTAAAAAGAAGCGTTGTCACTGTTACTTGGTTCTCCATCATCTAGGAAAAGGGCTGAATGGGGAAAAACGTCCCCAGACCCTTACGGTAGTGAAATACTAGACTTGAGTCATCTTACCAGACTCTGGATGTGAATATTTGATATTCCAGCTGAGCATGACAAAGGATCTGGCTAAAACTGGTGGGGGATTAGGAGAGGGAATGACTATTTCTAGCAGAAATGTTATAAATGCGACTGAATTTGGAAACACAGAGATCTCTTTCACCCAAGAGATGGATGTGGACTTAAGAGCTGCAGACTGAGAACCTTGGAATGTCTGTCTAGAGGTGTGCATTCTCCCAAAGCTGGAGTAGAGCTGAAGCCAGTGCCGTGTTGCACATAGGAGCTCTTCAGACGGTTAAGAACCTGTTGCTTTTACCTGCTTTTGGTGCAGCAGTTTCTTTGGCAAAATGCAGAAAACTGAGAACCCAAAGCAGTTTTAATGGGCAAAAATGAACTAAATGCAAGTATGGGGTGGGAGCTTTGCTCATGTGTTAATATTGTAGCACTGTAGGTACCGTCAGCAGGACAGGACCTCCTTGCTCTGCTTTAAGAAGCCTTGTGCTGTGGAGCAGTAAGCAGGAGGCTGGTTTTCACCCTGTCATTGCACCATGCTGCTCATGTGGCTGTTTGGGAAGGGGTGGCCTGGCAGGTGTTGTGTGCGAATCATAGAATCACAGGATCTATGAGATTGGAAAAGACCTTTAAGATCAAGTCCAACCATTCCCCAGCACTGCCAGGGCCACCACTAACCCGTATCACTAAGGGCCTCATCTACGCGGTGTGTGAACACTTCCAGGGACAGTGACTCCAGCACTGCCGTGGGCAGCTTGTACCAATGCCTGAGCACCCTTTGGGGAAGGAATTGTTCCTAATATCCAGTCTAAACCTCTGCTGGCAAGCTTGAGGCTGCTTTCCTTTCATCCTATCCCTTGTACATGGGAGAAGAGATGAGCCACCTCCTGGTGGCTGCTTAGAGGAGGGGAGCAGTGCTTCCAGGTCTGTGAAGATGGAACATGCTGGAGAATGCATTGTCCTTGTCCACAGTTGTGCAATTCTTGCTTTTGCGCTAACGTGTCTTTGCTCATTAATGGGTTTACAGGAGAGGGAAAAGGCGTTTTCACTTCTGGATGGGTATTTTCTTCCAGGCAACGTGTGGGAACCTAAGCATGTCTTGTTTTGTTTTTAACACCACTGTTACCGCTTGAGGGAGGATCTGTGTTGAGGGGTTTGGGTTTTTTGCTTTGCAGAGTTGTTTTTCCTTGCTGCCATCCACTACCATTGAAGTCAGTTTGAACAGTAGGGCTGAGAAGGGTGAATCTGCCTCCTCTCTCTTGCTGCTGTTAAACTAGACACCATTTCTTTGTGGTGAATCTCTGAGTGTAGGACTGACTGTCAGGGTTTTCCTACGCTGCTACTGGGAGAAGAGATAACTGCTGTCAGTGTTCTGAAAGGGAGCAGTGACTTCATCCTCTGGTGT